GTGGCTCCAACCTGTCAGCAAGTGCAGAAAACTCAACACATGGAGATGAAAACGAAAGAGGTAAGTTTTTAAAATGGCATCAACAAATTACCCATGAACCAGAGCGGATTTTCTCGGAAAATTCCTTGATCTTATCTAGAACACTCCACACTTCTGGAACCACATTCTCTCCATCAGCCTTAATAACTGCATCCTTTGGAGCACGGAGCGCAACGTGAAGAACTGATCTGTTCTCCGTACTGTTAATCTGAGGAAGTCAATCCAAAATGAAAATCAGACACCAGAGAATGGTACAATGGAGATGAGAGAATAAAGGGATATGACACTGTACGCAACTCATCATATACCATGACTTGTCTCGCATATAGAAATGTCTTTCATTTATATTCTTGAACATGTAACACTCTAAGAAATAGTTTACATAAGGTAAAATCAAAGTGAGATTAACAGATACTCACATGCTCCCCGTTGTACATGCTGCTGATCTTCTCTGTCAACTTTGCAGCCTACAACATATACAAACAAATTATTGAAATTCGCAAGTGAAATACGTAACCGTTCTACCAAAATAACATACTCCCTCACCTTTGCCAAGTTCAAAAGCTTGACCATAGTCTCTACAGTTGCACACTGTCGAGAGTAATCTAACAGCAGCCCGTCAAATTCCCTGATAATAAGCATACCAACAAAGCAATGACTTAATATCAGAATTCACCAATAACAGATTCAATACCAAAGCATTGGGACAAAAACTTCTTGATGCCAAGACACAAAGCTAAAACAGCTACCTTCTCTATACAGAAAGAAAGCTAATCTTGAATCATTAAAGAACTAGAGAAAAAGTCCACATTTGACATCGCATTGAATGATTTAATAAAGGCATCAACATCAAAGATTATGTTAGACCAATAAAATGAGAAAGAACACATACACCATCATCTTTTGGCATCTATTGGCATCATTCATCAAATCACGCAAATGAGTCTTCTTAATATCTTCAACATGGCCCTGTGGAAGTTCAAAAATACTCGGAACAATTCAGAAATTACATCTCAGACTATTGACAAAACTAAGACAGAGAAAATCATTAAAAGACTATACCTTCAATTCCTTCCAGGCCTCGGTTTCAGAAATCAGAGCAGTTGATGACGCCATACTGGTAATCAAACATCAACACAAAACACAATTACATGTCAAATATAAAACCAATTTCGTTCACTATGCAGCTACGATTATAGGAAACGCATGGATAGGCATTTCACTTAAGAAGAAGAAAGTTAGAGAAACAGTTTCGATTGAAACTAGAGAGTCAAATACAGATTTTAGCTCGAGAGAGTCGTTGGTCCAAAGCTAATCGACGATTCGACGGAATTTTGATTTGTATCAAAATTTTGATTGATCGAGAGAGGGGAAAATAATCAGAACCTTGAGATCTTCGAAGATGAGAAGAAGAAGAAGGTTCCAGTATTGTGAGAAGGAGGAAGAGGAGAAAGAAGAAAAAAGAGCGATAGGGAAGCAGACAGCTGTGGGCCGGAGGAGCCTTAGATTATGACACGTGTCGACGAAGGTTCTGTTCTGCAAAACGGGACAGAGCAATGTCGAAACGGTGGCGTTTAAAAGGTGAGGTGATTGGGAAAAATCCCTAATATATTAAAAGAGAAAACACTATAAAATAAACCTTTGTCTTATATGTTATTAACAGAAATGCCATGTGTCAACACCAGGTTCACTTTCAAGGTTAGTTTTAATTAAGACAAACATTACTAGACTAATTACATGTCATGTCATTCATATTTGGTTAGAAAATGAAATAAATGATTAATTTAGTCAGAAAAATAATTATTAATGAAAATTATTTTCTTTCAATTCCTTATTTGGTAATGACGAAAATTTAATTATTAGTCAATCAACCAGTAAAATATAGAAAGTTTTATTCAATTGTATTATATTAATTGTTTAAAAATTAATTTATTCATCTATAATTTTTGTTTAGCTTTACTTTCAAGAATAAATTATATCATCACATCAAAATATTTTAAAAAATAAAATTAGTTTTCTTCTATATATGCTATGGTTTAAATTTTTAAAAATGAAGCAAATCTCTAAAAATGTTAAATGTATTATATTTTGGGATAATAGTTCAAAAATCTATTATAAAATAGGATCCAAATAATGATCAACCATAATCACAAATAGGAAAGAAAAATTTACCATGTTTGAAAATCTTTAAAATTTATTTTATTCAATTTAATTTGGTTCTTTAATTGAATTAAATAATTAAATCATATTTTTAAATATTTTGGTTTGATCAAAATTTTAAAGGTAATAAATTATATCTCTAATATATTAAAAGAGAAAACACTATAAAATAAACATTTGTCTCATGTGTTATTAACAGAAATGCCATGCTGATGTGTCAACACCAGGTTCACTTTCAAGGTTAGTTTTAATTAAGACAAACATTACTAGACTAATTACATGTTATGCCATTCATATTTGGTTAGAGAATGAAATGTATGATTAGTTTAGTCAGAAAAATAATTATTAATGAAAATTATTTTCTTTCAGTTTCCTTATTTGGTAATGACGAAAATTTAATTATTAGTCAATCAATCAGTAAAATATAGAAAGTTTTATTCAATTGTATTATATTAATTGTTTAAAAATTAATTTATTCATCTATAATTTTTGTTTAGCTTTACTTTCAAGAATAAATTATATCATCACATCAAAATATTTTAAAAAATAAAATTAGTTTTCTTCTATATATGCTATGGTTTAAATTTTTAAAAATGAAGCAAATCTCTAAAAATGTTAAATGTATTATATTTTGGGATAATAGTTCAAAAACCTATTATAAAATAGGATCCAAATAATGATCAACCATAATCACAAATAGGAAAGAAAAATTTACCATGTTTGAAAATCTTTAAAATTTATTTTATTCAATTTAATTTGGTTATTTAATTGAATTAAATAATTAAATCATATTTTTAAATATTTTGGTTTGATCAAAATTTTAAAGGTAATAAATTATATCCCTAATATATTAAAAGAGAAAACACTATAAAATAAACCTTTGTCTCATGTGTTATTAACAGAAATGTCATGCTGATGTGTCAACACCAGGTTCACTTTCAAGGTTAGTTTTAATTAAGACAAACATTACTAGACTAATTACATGTTATGCCATTCATATTTGGTTAGAGAATGAAATATATATGATTAATTTAGTCAGAAAAATAATTATTAATGAAAATTATTTTCTTTCAGTTTCCTTATTTGGTAATGACGAAAATTTATTTATTAGTCAATCAATCAGTAAAATATGGAAAGTTTTATTCAATTGTATTATATTAATTGTTTAAAAATTAATTTATTCATCTATCATTTTTGTTTAGCTTTACTTTCAAGAATAAATTATATCATCACATCAAAATATTTAAAAAAAAAATTAGTTTTTTTCTACATATGCTATGGTTTGAATTTTTAAAAATGAAGCAAATCTCTAAAAATGTTAAATGTCCCACATGATTATATTTTGGGATAATAGTTCAAAAACCTATTATAAAATAGGATCCAAATAATGATCAACCATAATCACAAATAGGAAAGAAAAATTTACCATGTTTGGAAATCTTTAAAATTTCTTTTATTCGATTTAATTTGATTCTTTAATTGAATTAAATAATTAAATCGTATTTTTAATATTTTGGTTTGATCAAAATTTTAAACGTAATAAATTCTAATAACTTATCATATAAGTTAAATTATTTTAGTTATTTAAAATTGATAAAAACATAAAATATATATGCCATTTTATATTTATCAAAATATAAAATTATTTTAAATGTATTAAAATTTAATATATATGTGGGTTCGGAAAGGGAGAAACTGTTGTTAAAGCAAATGTTAGATTACCACACTGTAAACGATGACAAAAATCAAACCAGGCTAAAAAAATATGCATCACTCAAAATTTCGTCTAATGTAAATTGACATTTTTTTAATTGTCTAACACTCTATGTTCCTAAAATTGTATGTAAATAGACATCTTTTAATAAAATCAAATTGAGAAAATATCACCCCGTGCAAGGCGCGGGTCAAACTCTAATTAGGTTTATTACTTATGAACTTACGAGAAATGGAAAGTCAAAACTGTTGACAATATTATGAAATATTCTCTTGCTCATACTGTATATCGTAGACCTAGACAAAGCTCAAGCTCAATCAAAATTTTCATAATATATAGGTCTTTGTTGTAAAGATTCTATAAAGACCAATGCTATATATTCTCTTGCTCCATACTGTATATCGTAGTCGTAGACCTAAACGAATAACTAGAAAAATATATATATAGCATTGGTCTTTCTAGAAAATTACTACATAGCATTTGACCATTTGTCTATAATATGTTATAGACTTATAGTTAAACATGAGTTGACTTTACAATATATAACATTGGTCTAAAATATAATTATAGTTAGACATGACACATGAGTTGACTTTATAATATATAGCATTGATAACTCTTGTATAAGATATAAAAACCAAAGTATAATTTATCACTTGCCAAAAAGAAAATTTAAATTTCATCAATTGATTGACTGGCGATCAGCCTGCAAACACAATTCAAAACATTTTGTGTCACGAAAAAAAAACCTTTTTGCCTAAGGTAAAATACACGGTTTGTATAACAGTGAGAAGATACCTTGAGTATTTATCACTCTACAGTCTACACTCTTCCCAGACTCTTCTTTTTCTGTTGGAAATTCGTCTAACAATACTTTCTCACAAGGCCTTAAGTTCTTTGAGTATCTTCGCACACGAACTTAATTCTTACATCAAAGTAAATTACAGTCTTACAGAAACTATAGTAGATAACTCATACTACGTACAATACAGATAACTCATACTAGTCGGTTTCGTTAGTTTAAATTAGTAGCGTAACATATAATTCACATTTAACCTTTTAAAGATCGATGATAAGACTCAATAGTTTATATGATAAATGCATACAAGTTTATAGATACAAACAACATTGTTGTCAAAATAGAGATAGAACAACACAAGTGGGCTAGAGAAGCAGAGCGAGGAGTAGAATTGTGAACATCGGTTTGTCCAGAATTTTTGTCGGAGGGAGAAGTAGGTGAAGGGAGGATCATCTGCGGCGGAGCAGGTAAGGTTTGTCTTGTAGGCGCCGCGGCTGGTGGGAAACGTGGTATTGGCGACTGTGGAGCCATGGAAGTCTGTGGGACATAACAAAAGTAATCTATGGTTTGGTTATATCAAATTCATCGTATAAATCATATTATTAATAATCTATTTTCTCTTGTTCAAAAAATTATATAATATATTTATGTATGCTTTCTTCTTCTTCTTTTTCTGTCAACGTTTTCTTTTCTTTTCAATAGAATAAAAATTTCCATAAAAGTTTTGAAAGATTTTCAAAGAAAATTATAAGGGTCATTGTCTTATTGAGGAAATTAATAGTGATCAGAACTATCTTTCTTTGAAAAAAACTTTAAACCGATTAACAAATGGTATTTCTTTGAAATATTTTATTTTCAGCTTAATAATCTATTTTCTGTATGTTCTCTTTTCTTTTCAATAAAATATGTTATATATGTTACTACAAATACTTACTTACTTGGTTGGTAACAAAAACTTACTTGGTTATTAGTCCTTGTGAGCCCAACATCGTAACTCATGGTTAGATCAGGCTGGAACAAACCGAAAGCTCGTTCGGATCCTTTGCCAGGCTTGAGATTCTCGTCGAACAATGCAAACAAGTATGTATCGACCACTTTCCCGGGCATGAGCGGCGTCCCCGCCATGGATTTCAAATGAGCGATTAGGTTTTTGTTGTAAGCCTTAGCGTTCTCTAAAGTCGCGCCGGCCTCGTTCGGATCTCCCTTGTACGGCCATCCAGTCTCAGCGACCACTATCTCTACGTCCTTAAACCCCATCGCGCTCAAAGCTGAATGCACCGCATCAACCTTCACAAACCAAATTCAGTATCGTGTTATATCACTTCTTTCATTTCTTTTCCTTATAATAATACAAATCCATATTTGCAAAATTGCAAGTAACGAAATCATTTTTTTTCTTTCTACTAATTTGATAAGGTACTACTGAAGTACTGATCACTTTATTACCTTCACCGGTTTATACTGCATTCTTCACTTTTCATTCATCTGACTTAATTTTTTTTTTGGTCAACAATCTTGACTTAACTAAATTCACCATATTCTTTAGCCGTTAAATAAAAACCAAACTCTAAAGAAAAACAAAATTTAGTTATCAGACTCTACTAATACACCATCTCATTACAGAATTTAATAATACCCTCAAAGAAATTTCATGAAATATTTACTTTAATTTGGTGAATTAAAGAGAGAAAAAATTGTCCAATTTAGTTTCCGGTTCATAAATAGTACTCCTTTCGTTCCTTAGTTTTAGAATAAAAAATGTTGTTTTACAAAGATAGATATTTTGTATATTTAATGCAAAATGTGTATAACATGTCTTATGTTATTCCTATATATTATAATCAAAATAAATGAAACAACTAAAATTTAGTACTAGAATAAGGGTCAATTTATGTGTTGTAAAAATGTTATGAATATAAAAGAATATGTATATAATTTTGTGGAGCGGTGAGACTAGTATGCAAGTTAGAATCAAAAACGTACCGATGCATTGTATCAACTAAAAAAAACTAAAACACTAAATATGACAAAAAAAAAAAAGAAACAGAGAGATGGAGTAAAACCTGAGCATCGAACATGTTCATATACTTGATCTTACTATTGGCGTCGACACGGCCAGGATTGGCCTGAAACAAGCAAAACGCCAACGTGTCGGGTCTCGGGTCATCCTGGTAAGCAAAAAACGGGTACGGGTTAATCATAAAAGGCGACCCGGTTTCACTGTTAAACTCCAACAGTCCCTTCAATATATCAGCATGTGCTCCGAATACGCCGGCCGACGGAGGATCGGACTGGCCAAGAACCGACATTGTGTGCACCGTCGTAACCTTAATTTTTCCACCGAGAGACAACGCCTCGAGGGCAGTTTGGACATTTCTCATCGCCGGCAAGAGCTGCGACATGAGATTACGGTCGCCGAAGTTTGTTACCTCGTTTCCCACGGCGATGAGAATGATCTTGCTCGCCTGATAATAAGGGACCACGTTGGTTTGGACCCAGCTCCGGGCGATATTCGGGTCGGATGCTAAACCGGGTACGTCGTTGTTTGCGATCACGATTTCGATCCCTGTGTTCGCGAGGGCCTTGATAACCGCCGGGTCGGATCCGTAGAGCCGGACTTTCTGTATGGTTGTTGATTGAAGAAGCTTCACAGTCGCTGACGGTGGCGGGAGATTGTTGGCGACTTGACCGTAGTTTACTCCGATGAATGGTTGAGACTCTGTTTTTGAAACATTTTAAAGAAATTACGTTTTTTTTGTGCAAAAATTGAAACTTTAAATTGAATTTCGAATAGAAACTTACTTGATAGATGAAGAGCATGCAAACAGAAGAAGAGTAGGATCAATGGATAAACAGAAGCTACCATGGTTGGATAAATTTGCTCTGTGTATTTTTTTCTGTTCTTTTTGTATTCAAATGCTCTCTGATTTGGTTTTATATAACAGAGACTCAGAGAAGAAGTGGGTAATCTATAGATATAGATGCAGAAAACAACCGACGTTGTAAAGAACCTAAAGATAAATGTTAATTTTTCTTTTCCAATTTTCAAATTTTAAAGTTTAAAGGGTAAAACGACACGAGTCTCTTTTGGTTTGGACCAATGTCTTATGCTTAAGTTAGTGAAATATCAGTTATACCTTTGAAATTGAAATACATACATGAGGGTTTTTCTTCTGACATATACATGAAAAGCTTTTAACTATACTTTTTTTTTTGCTACAGTATTATTGGGTAGGAGATTCTAAAAGAAATTTGAAATATTATTTGGATGGAGCCAGTACCATGAACAAATTTAGTGAGACATAATTAAAAACATATCGACCACAAGTTATTGCTAATTTGCTATTAAATTACGTATAATTAATCATCTTCTCGACAAAGAACGTAAACTCATGTTAGTTCTTGATTCGATTTTATTGTGTGCAAATATTTTGTGTAAATCATTTTCTCAGTGGACTAAACATTGCTACCTTTACTTTATCTATATATAGTGAACTTGCCAAAACCTTTTGCTCAAAAGTAGTTTACCTCCAAGTTTAATAAGGTGCTTCCATCCAAACACAAATATACTACATTTTGATAAAGAAACAAGATACATCACGACAATGTATAATATAAGTATGTGTTGCAGGGTATTAAAAAGAGATAACAAAGGGGATTAGGACCCTAAAGTTTCTTTAGTTAATTAGTGCATGAAAAAGTGAGACAAAACTTTAGTAACTATGTCTTCCCACTCTTAATGAACCATTAATCATATAATTAAATAATCGAAGTAATCGAGGCCTTTTTGTTAATTAGATTTTCCTTCTCTGCTAAGAAATGAAGCAATGCTACGAAGGTGGTGGAGGAGGAGAGCAAGGAATTAGACATTTCAACATCTTCCACAAAGATGGAAAAAGAATAACAATAAAGAAGACGAGATCGCTTTTGCTGTGGCACAAGGAAAAGATAAAGCATGTTCAAACTATTGTTTCATTCTTCAATAAAAAGACAGGAAACAATTATTAAAAACAAAAGCACAAAAGGCGTAACATTTGAACCAGAATTTTCAAATTTGTGTTATTTGAATCATTTGTATTCCAACGTGACTTCCAGGATTAATAATTCACATAAGAATCTCATTGTGCTCATTGATTCGATTTTCAATACCAAATCTTTGCTACAAGAGGTGAAAAAATACATACTTTCAAACAAAACATTAATGAAATGGGCAAATGTCTCAAACCTAACGAGAACTCGCTTTTGACCAGGAAAATTCAAGAGTAACGGCTATATCCAAATAAGATCTCTGGTTACTTCCTCCATGAGTCCACTGAATATTTCCCTCTCTATGTCCCTTATAACATCATCTTTCTCGATGAATGCGAGCATGGAATCATTCCAACCCATGTCCCACATTGAGTTCAAGTTTGGATCTTTATGGTGAACATCTCTTTCCAACACCTTTGGCAAGTAGTCTTCAACAAGTGATTCAGTGTAGCACTCCCTACCGTAGGCTCTCAGCTTCTCGAACTCTTTGCTTAATTGTCTAACAAGATTGTCCAATGAGTTTACTTTAGAGGAACTGATGGGTACCTTCACAAAAGGATGGACACTTAACTCTTGAAACCTCCCTTTCCTTTTCATTAGCTCGTAGCCACAATCGAGGAGTAGATTCTTGTCTTGTTGATAGTAATTGCTCCCATCGGCTGCGTCATGAAGAGGAATGTTGAGTTTGAAAAGTGCCTCTGCTGTGTCTACAAATAGTTGGCTTTTCACAACTATCTTCTTGAGGTTTCTTTCATTTTCAGACAATATCTCTGTACTTTCTTGTTTTTGGTGTTCTGGTCGTTTCTCCAACAAGGGTATATTAGCTTCCACTTCCCTTCTGGTTCCTGAATCAATGAAAAGATGTTTTAGTTCCATATATTTTTTTTTTTAGGTTTCTACCGGAGATAACTTGGGGAGCAAACTTTCTAGCTTTTTTACTTCTTAGTTCTTACCTTCATATACTGTCTTAGATAATATTTCTGACTTTCCATCAAGTTTTGATAACAGAGCTTGTTGATCCATCTCATCCGTAAACATGAGCCCACGATGCTGCTACACATCCGAAAATGATTAGAGGCAAAAATATACAATATATGATATGTGAAGTTTACTCATAATAACCTTACATTTTCTGAAGGATCTTGACATTGGACTCTCTCGGCGGCGATAAGCTGAATCGAGTCATCTTTGATCTCTCTGATATGCTCAGCCACATTTCTGTTTGATGATTGGACCTCAACGCCTGAAACTTTAGAACTACTAATGCATTTCTCTGCTTCTTGTGCTTTCATCTTATTACTACCATTGTAACTTTTGAGTAACTGAGTATGTTTTCCATCTTCTTCTCTGGAAACATGCTTCTTATTCTCTGGTTGCTTCACTACTTTGAACAATCCTCCATTTGGATTGGAGATTTCTTGATTCTTCTTCTCTTGGATCTCCGGTTTATGCACCTCTCCTTGTTTTTTCTTCTGTGCTACTTCAACATGAGAAAAGCTTTTCCTCACAGGTGGAGCTTTGTCTGTTAGTCGTAGCTTCGTTACTATATCCAAAGAACTCAAAGGTTTAGGCGAGTGATTGGTCATCACACCATTCTCTTGTGCACTTTCTTGCTTCAACTTCTCTTTCTTGATGCTCTTTCCTTCCTCACTTCCTCCAGAATTTTGAAAACTTAGTTTTTTCTCAAACCCAAGTTTATGTAAAGGCTTTTGTTGGCTCCTTGAGACAGCCTTATGTTTATTTTCTGTTGGAGCTGAACTCTTTCTGGTAACATTTTTCGTCGATGATTCTCCATCTTTCTTGTGTGTAACCTTATTTATTTTTCTGCTATTTGAATCATCATTCTCTCTATCCTTCTTCTGAGGCTTGGCTTTGTAACTTGCTCCACTCGCGGATACTTTCTGAGTCTCCTTATGGACTACTAAATCCAATGGCATTGAGCTCCTTTGCGCTTCACTAGCTTGCATTACTCTACCTCTTGTGAGACTCTCTGTAGATTTGATGGATGCATCATTCTTGTTCTTGGTTTCTTTTTCATCCTGTGGAAACTCTCCTAATCCCATCAACTTGGCAACAACATTTGGAATCCTTCCCTTCTGAGGTTTCAGCTCGGTATCTTGGAAACTACTTGTTTGCTTTCTGTGTTTACTCTTCTTTTCCTCTGGATAGTTAAGCGCCAATAGTCTCATCTCTATATCCGCCTTTGCGACTTCTTTGATCTTTAGGTGATTTCTATTTTGAGCCTCATTTTCCTCCTCCTCCTCATCATCAGTTTCTTCAAGCAACCTGATTCTGTTTTTCCTCGGTTTCTTGGTCATGTACTCAGATGAAGCTTGTTGGATGTCCACAAGCAAACGAAGAGACTGTTCTAGTTCAACGGCACCTTCCATGAGCTCTTCACCGCATTGTATCGAGTACCTTCCTTTACGGAAACTGAGGCTGTTACTACATGCTTTTATGATCTGATTCAGCTTTTTAGTTCCCTTTGAGATTTCTTTGATATGAACGTGAACCATGGGAAGTTGTTGACTGCTTGAGCACAGTTGTTGTTGTTGACTGCTTCTTCTTTCTGATGTTCCATATCCCAAAGATCTCTTTCCTACTTCATGGAGGAAACTAATGATTGAGGCATTCCCTGTTGGATCTCCTCTTGTAGCTTTCCCAGCATTTTCAAGTGCAAATGCTAATGCTTTCGATAAATCGATTTTCTCCATCCTCGCTCCTTTTCCATAAGGAAGTATTTGATTTGAAGTCTCTATGCCGCTAGTGAGTGCTTTAGCTCCTCCATAGTTGAAGTCTTGATATGTTGTCTGCAACCAAACCAAGAATTTGATTTAAATAAGATACTTAGTAAAGACTCATTGAAAGATGCTCCAAAGCTTACAGATTTTGCTCTGGTTTCTTTGGATCTCTTAAATCCTCGGTTTGAATATGCATAGTTATCTGCAAACAAGAAAGTCAAAATTGACGTTACAAAGATTTTTTCTAGTTGCTATTCACAAGCTATGATCATTTTAAATCCCTTTAAACCTTTGTGATGATATGCTTGTAATAAGAGCTTTATTAACTCATACACTTCATCTACTAGCATATGGTGCAAACTTTTAACACTAAAGATTTCTAAGGGCGTAACTTAAAAATGTTTAGTTGTATTTTGGGAGTCACTTGCATTGTGGATGAAAGACTTATGGGTTTTTGTTTCTCGAAGTCATAAACTAATGGTAGATGTTTGAATCTTTTGATTCCTTAATGAAACTTAGATGTTTGATCCAAAACTCTTGTGGTTGCCTTATTGAGTCAAAACATGCATGTTTGCTTGTTTTATTTTATAGATTTTATACATAGAATGAAGAATTAGCTATATGAACATATTAGCTTTTGTTGACTTCTCCTACATCTTGATCTAACAACGGAAAATTATGATAAGGAAGCAATGTTTGTTCAATCTTACCTGTATTCTGAGAGATTGAAAGTTGTTCCTTCCTTGTGCGAAGATCATCCAACAACTTCTGAGCAAAACCTGACTTTTTCATCATTATCTTCTCTCCATTCGAACTCATTCTCTCAGTTAACGGGATCTTCTTGTTTTCACTCTTGAGTCTAGAAACAAGAAGACACACAGAGAAGTCTATTCACATTTGCGTTGGGGAAATATTTCTAAAGACTCCAAACTTCTTTGTTTCTTTTTTTTGTTTGTATTTCATTGTTTTCTTGACATTACTTGATGGTTGAAATGGTTCTTTCAGTGTTTGGTGAGAAAATTTGAGTACTGATAGCAAAAATCTAATTGATAACAATGGAAGATTCTAAGAATTAAATGTGTGTGGTTTGATGATTGACGTGACGTTAGACCCTTCTGAGTAAAATGTGCTTGATGTTTGTTTTTTTGTTTTTTAACTTCGATTGCAAGTTAAGCAATGACGAAGGCCTTTCCTTAGCGACTTAGCTTTCAAGCCTCTCTCACTCTCTCTGGCTGGTGGTGCATTTCAGTTTTATTACACTATTACAATTTCATGAAACAAATTACCAAAAAATCAAAACCCGATCACTCTAAATAGTAAAATAAAATAAGATTGTGAATGCAGATATAAAATCTCTCACATATTTGAGAAGCATGACATAGTTATAATTATTTCTTATCTTGATTCTCTTTTTTCATGAAATTTTGTCACATTATTCCAAATACCGTATTTTTTTACATTTTTCAATTAAATTTAATTTAATTATTTTTATTCCAAATGAGAATATTTTTATTAGATAATAAATTTTCAAAAGTTTGAACATTATTAATTTATATAAATGTTTTACTATATACGTTTTTTGTGAATGGATTTATCATATGAACTTATGGGCTTTTCTTGGCTGGGCCTTCACTACAAGAATATTGCAGTCCGTTGCTTATTCTCAAATGTAATCTATCTCAAACGTATATGCCACAGTTTTTGTTTGCTTCGACAAGATACAAGTAACCTTTTAATGTTCGAACAAAATATTTTAAAACATCAGAATATTCTTTGAATTTAGATTGCCAAAATACTAAATTTCATTTGTTTAAACAAAAACAATTTAATGGCATCATGGGCATGGCATCATTTAGAATGATCTACTTTGCATAAATAATTCGGTAGTTGTAATCAGTGCTGTGCTTGGTCAAGATCTTATCATGTGATCCATGAGACACACACCGATCCATGTTCCTAACAGAAACTTTATTATGTCTATAAATAAACATTTAAGATTGTTCTAACGACACAATCGAAAAAAGAGGAAAGTGCAAGAGATGAAAAGGTGAGTTCCACCGCTACGTTCGCTCATCATTAGGCCTACTCATCATGCCCTCCCTTCATTATTGTAGTGCATTTCTGTACGGATCTCTTTCCCATTTTACTTATTTTTGTATCAAAATATTTCTTTCATAAAGGAATTGGATCAATGAGTTGTTTAAACATGGTTGTTGCTAGTACATGCACTCCGACATGTGGCTGTGAAACAAAGAAATATGAGCTATATATAATGAAAGTGGATTAAAACCGTTAAGCAAGAAACCTTTTTTAATAAGTAGTTTCTAATCTGAACCCAATTATTCGTTTGATCTGCATATGTAGTCTGTAGAACTTGTACAGAAGAAGTGGAAAAGTACCACTTACTAACAAAAATATTATTTTACAATTTAAATTATAAAATTAAATGCGACCGACCGTTTCACCGCTTCTTTCGATATTCCTCGCTTATTTTCTCTCTTTCTGTACATAAACAAATCAGCCAAGACCTCACCGGAAGCTGAAGACGAAACATCACACTCACACAAGATCTTCATTTTCTGCAATTGTCTCCATCTATACATTAATACACACTTCTTTAGATTTTTATTACATTCCTTGTAATAATTACAAAGCTTGAAGCTTCAAATTCAGAATGATCGTTTTAGTTGCACTAGCTCCTTGATTCAAACAAGTTTTCGCTTGTAATCTTCACTCTTACGCCTTCTTCAAAAGAAATTCTCTTTTCTTGGTTCATTGGAATTGTTATGGTTCTGAATGTTTTTTGTGCTAAAATATTTGAATTTTGGATTCCACAGATTTTGATTTGGAGATGAAGATGATGATGAGTAGCAGTAGCAGAAGCAGCAGCAGCAGTAGTAGTAGTAGTTATACTAGAGACCAAAATAATCGATATGCACATACGAAAATTGTGAGTGAAGAATTCCGAACGTTTTTGATCGTTTTTTTTTTTCCATTGTTTGCTTAAAATGAAAAGGAGAATTGATTTTTTTTTTTCTTTTTCTTTTTTGCCTATGATCTTTAAAATCATATTTTCTAAATGCATTCAATTTCATTTTCATTGTAGAATTCTTCCTTAATTTTCGAAAATTTGTTTCTCAAATATCTAGAAATTAAGATCCATTAGTATATATTATTAGTATATATCTTTGACCACGAATTGACTAATGCAGGGGAAGAAATTAAAAGGTGGTGATGAAAATGGTGTTGCAAACAGAAAGGCATTAAATCGAGAGAAGATCATTGCTATGCAACAAGATGTAAACGGTCTTCTTTTCTTTTTCTTTTGTTTTGGGTTTGATCTATACAGTTTTTAAGAGAAGATGTTACTATGTTTTAAGGTGGAAAAGCTAAGAACGAAGCTTAGACATGAAGAGAACATTCACCGAGCTATGAAAAGAGCGTTTAACAGACCTATTGGATCACTTCCTCGTCTTCCTCCGTTTCTCCCTCCACCGGTCAGTAACTAGAAAACTCGCTCTCTGGATTTCTAAAAATCTTGCTTAAAATTTTGGTTTGTACATTGTAGATCGTGGAGCTACTTGCGGAAGTGGCTGTTCTTGAAGAGGAAATTGTTCGGTTAGAAGAACATATTGTGCATTTCAGGCAAGAAACGTATCAAGAAGTAGCTATTACATCTTCATCGAAAACGAACTTAAAATGCTCGGCCGATCTTCCTAAGTCTAAGTTAGCTTCCAGTAATGCTAGAGAATTAAATCACCACTTTCGTGTGAGGTTTTAACTAGTTTGTATGATTTAGTTTAAAATAATAATACTAGGCCATTTTCTCAATGCAGTTACTATCGAACACATCATTCTGCGCTTACCTTATCACTCGAAATATGTAAGCTCTGCTTCGTCCGCTGGTCTCTTTCTTTTCTTTAAAGTGGTCTTTAACATACATCAATGATCTTTTACCTCACATTTCTGTCTTGATCTATCAGATTTCCCACAAAGGTTTAAATAAAAATGAAATGGCTGCGAGGAGTAGATTCGGATTGGAATTGTCACAGCCACTTGTAACATTTGTTCTCTCACATTGTTGTGACTAATGCCATGTTAAGTTTTGTAGACTCTCAACTCAAAACCAACTGACAATAAAATAGATTGATCCATGCTCTTTATATATAGCTCAAGATCATATTGCATTTAGGTGTAAGGTACTTTTGAAATCAAAATTTGGCCTAACCTTCCACATCACGCTAACTAATAGATCCGGTGACACGTTTTGAGTAGGCTTATTTGATGATAATATTGAACATTTACTTTCTTTCCCTTTAGTTTGATTGTGTACTTGTGTCTAGTTTCGTTAAGAGCAGCACTTATGAATATTAGGTTAGACACCGACTCAGCATTGTCATTGAGTGACTGATCGTATCGGTTGGACCCTCCAATTTGTAACCTTTCTTTCTTTTTTGTTTACTTTTGATCTCAAATCTCCTCCACTTAGAATTCACATGTTTAAATCAATAAAATAGTCACTTCATCTTCCTCTCGTGAACTTTTATTCGTCTCCGCCGGTGGAAAAATAAAATTAAGAAAAATCTTAAATCTAGAGAGATACAAAAAGATAAGAATGGTAAAAGATGAATTAAAAGAAATAAAAGAAAAAGAATAGGAGACTTTTGGGTTTTCTAGTGAAATTGGGGGAAAAACTATAACAGAGAAAACACTAATTAATCAAGACTGTGACTTGGATATGTTATGTAGGTTTTACTGGTTTTAAGATTGGAAATATTTTATCACCATTAATTAGGTTTAAAAAATAGTAAAAAGGACGTCAAAAAGAAAAGTGTAACAAACAACTAATGAGACCTGAGAAAGTAGATACTAAGTTCTGTACCCTGACCACTACCTTCAGGGTTGATCATATACAATGCTTCAGAGTCCTTAGAGCCAATAACCCTATCGAATCGAGCTCTCATGTAAGTCATTTCTCCCTCTGTCTCTTGATAATATTGGTTCTTGCATGGTAAAACTCCAGCTCCCATTGAAACACCTCGCAACGCATCAATCACATACATCTCCTCCTCACTCATGTTCTTTCTCCTTATCGAGTACCCGATTTTCCTTCCGTTACAGTAAATCCCCCACACGAATTCCTCCAACACCTTCTTCCTCGACGTCTTTGTCTCGCTCTCCAGCGCAATCCTCACTGTCTCTGAGGCCATCTCCTTCTGCAGCGCCGAGGTCAGCATCGGGAGCTCGATGATGAACGTTGGCAGGCAATGAGGGTCTTCTTGTATTGCAAGAAAGACTCTTCCATTGCGAAACCCGAAGATTGTTCCCGTGGTTGCGAAGTCTTTGAGTAAGGGTTTTCGATGTCCTCGGCTCAACAAGCTCACCATCTTGCAACCAGAAGATAGCATTGGTATTAGCTTGAACATTTTGAGGACACCTCCACCAAAGCTTCCAGAAGATTTTTTTGAATGTTTAGAATCCATGGACGTGCCTGTGTGCCGCAAGAGTGAAAGCACGGCCGAGCTCTCCATGTTGAAGAATGGGCTGTTCCGGATCGGCATGGTTTAAACTTGTTCTCTTGTTTCTACTAACCTTTTCTTGGAGTTTCTATTGATGGATTATTATGTGTGTTTTTGAGGATGAATATAAGTGTTTGGCATATGAAGGGAAAAGAAATATATATAATGGGGAAGGGGCTCTAGTACTAAGTTAGGAAGATGGCTTGTCATTTGGCTTTCGGAATCTTTGGGGGAAAAAAGAAAAGCAAAAGCAAATTGGTTTTTGGAGACAAGTGTGAATTAAAAAGGAGAAACCACTATTACACATTGTTTCTTTTTCTGGTGTATGATTTAGACAATCATGTATCATAACATTACATTTAGATAACAATTATACTCAGCATCAACTTCGGCGTTTGTATTTACGTAAAAAAATTACTTAAATACAAACATACCATGTTATTGATTTGTACGTCCATGACATGCATCACCCGATTTTTTTTGTTTTTAGGTTAAGTTTTATAATTGATCGTTTTCATGTGAAATCACTCTCAAGGCAAAGAAAATGATATACATTCAATGAAAAGAGCGCTATAACTTTTAGCAAAAAGTGTGTAATAACTTTGTAGATGAGGTCTACACAACGCAACCTAATGAAAACGATGGTAACGAATGAATGGCCATATTTCTGAAAAACCATATATATTATGTTAGTGGAATGGAGAGACGTGAGACCACACACCCTAAAGGATCTTGTGGGGGAAATGGGTCTCATCATTAAGAGAACAAACCTCGCATGTGTAGTGTGTATAGTTATTTGATGAATTTCATCGAATTATATCGATACTCTTCGTGAACAAGCACAGTTTCGACATAAAGCTTGTTTCACAAAGTTCTTATTGTCATTTAAAACATAACTCTACCACTTTTCAAAAATATTATGAAAGACGTTATAAGACTTCAGAAAACCTTATACTCATTTTAGAAAATTCTTTACAAAACCCTGTAAGAAAAATTAAACCTTTAAATTCCTTCTCAATCATCTTCTTATTTAACCAATTAACTACTTTCACAAGTTTATCGCCCTACATCAAAGATAGGCAAAATGCACTAACCAAAAAGTTTAGGTTTTATTCATGATGAGCACTTTTTAACAAATCGATATTTTGATTTATTTGTTATGGGGTTTTTAAAAACGAAGGCAAAATGAAAGGTAGAAGAAAGAAGGAAAGAAAGAAAAAAGGAAGTGTGGTTCGGCATAAGGCATGTGCCAATGTCTCTATTAGATTTCAATAAAAGAATCACTAATTATTGTGGAAAGTCATCTTTACGAATTCTTTCTTTTTTTCTTTCGTTTTATCCATCAGCTTTATAACAACGTCAAGCATGGGCGCCAAATGATCAAACTTGCTTGATGGGGCCTCACTACGGACGACCACAACTAGTTAGTAGTTGCAAATGAGACACTTGTACTGATCCAAATCCCTTCATTGCATATCACAAGCCAAACCCATAGTCTAAAGATCATAATACCCAAAAGAAACCAAAAAGAAAGATATCAGATTCTACAACTATGGTGATCAACATGTTCTAGTTGTTTGAGTAGCACGCTAATCCACTTGTTATCATGTTCATGTTCGAAATCCTAAACATTTAAGTACATATAGTTTTTAGACTATTAAAGAATCCATGTGGGTGCTGAAACCATCATCCGCTTATTGTATCCACAAACATTATCATTTCTGGTTGATGAATTTAACATACCGATCATTCCTGTTTGGTACCAAAATATGATCATTCATTCCCATATTGTGAAAAAGTTTGTTGGGGTCAGCTTTGTATTTGTCATTTAAATACAGAGCAAAGTAGTGCAAAGTATCAACAAACAAACCACATAGGGAACCGAATTGCCTAAAAGAGAACAACTTTTAACAAAGACAGCGTCTTGTTCACTTGCATCTTCTACTCAAATATTTGCTCCACCTAAGGCCTGCCAAAATGTTTCTTAGAAACAGTTTCAGAAATGGTAAAGGAAAGAAGAAGAAAGCATATATATTACCTGTTTACAAGATTGCGATCTAGAAGAGAACTTTTTTCGTCTTTTTCAAAGCCTGAACAAATTCAAACAACAACGTTGTTCTTTCTTGAAATCTTAGTTTCTCTTAACAATACTTAACATTAGTATCAGCACTAAAGAAGTTGTTTTTCTACATACCTGTCTCATTGTTTTAAGGAGGATGGAAGGTAATCCTCATATATCCAGGAAGACTTTTGTGAAGAATTAGGAACATCTAGAGGCAACAATCCTTTGAGCCACTCGATTCGAACAATCAGCTCCTCCAAGTCCATCACAGCAGCTTCTATTGACTCTGACTCCATAATGTTCAACGCAAGCTCTCCATTCCCGCCTTTCAGTATTTCTGTGGATCTCTGCTTTTGTTCTTCTCTAGTTTTGGCTCCTTCCACTTCATCTGATACAACACAAGGCAACATCAAGAACGGTAACACCCAGACATTGTAAAAACACAAACTCTTAACCTTCACCTGAAAGTTTAACTAGCTTAGCACATTGCCTCCTTTCCCCATCCTGCAAGAAAGATGGATGATATAGCACGATAAGCAATTACAACAAAACAGCATACTTTGGATTGGTTACAAAAGAAACAAGAACAAGATTTAAGGATCCTAACCTTAGAAAAAGGCACACTCCAACCATCTTCAAGTGACCATTCCAATGATGGACGCAAATCCTTACACAGAGCCTCATAACTACTCCCTTCGCCATATGGTTTAGGCAACAATTCAATCTGCAAAATAGACCATCGAATCAATCATAAGGACCAGCACAATGCACAAAGTTCAAAGACTAAATCGAACCAAAGAGAAGACTGAATTTCAGAATCTCCATAGCTTTAACATAAGGACATTTAGATATGACCATACCTTTACTGATTCGTCTTCTGTCACTTCAAGAACAGTACCGCACCAATGGCAATGGTCTTTCCACCAGTCGACCAAATCTCCTACCTTCCACTTATCAGGAACAACAAGAGCTTCCTCTACACCATCCTCCTTCACAAGGACTTCACTCTCATGACATTGCCGTGGGAACAAAGGTCGAATCATCAGGGTCTTCTCGTTCTCGCCTTCAAGTCTTTGATACACTTTTGTTGTGTGTAGTCCTAAGGCATATAAACTTGATGTTATCAACATATAAAAACAGAGCTTTCTACATCTAAACATATCAATGTACCAATGCGTTAAATGAAAAGATCGAAACCAACCTTCTCCTGGAAAATCAAGATACTCCACATCATAGTACAATCCTCTCCCTTTCTTGAATATCTTTATAATCTGATAAAACGTTAAGAAAGCAAAACTGATTTTAAGAGATTTCTGTCGCCAATCAATCATTAGATTTAGTATAAGACAAGAATGAAAACAAGTACCTTGCATCGAAACCAAGCTCCACGAAAACCAGATTCAAAAGATCTTACTTCTACAATGTTACCAACTTGGAATGGTAAGTCAGTTTGAGTCATTATTTGGTCTACTTGTTAACTGCCAGCAATTACAGTGTATCAAACAAAACGAGTCATATCAATAGTTCCCAATTTTAAAAACATTGGATAATCCAAAATTAAAGCTAAAATACCTGATTGCTTTTTTTTCAATACTTGTGTTGCCTTCGTCTCCTCTTTAATAATCCGAATCTGGTGTTGTGATATGTTTAGAGAATCTGGCGGTTCACATATAGCGAAACATGAAAACCATAAATCATATCAATAAAGAAGAAACAAGACCAAAGAGGAGAAGAATCATCCGTGCAAGCAGTTAAGAGTTGGACTCAATCAAGTAAAATTTTCAACAAATTCGTATCAGACCAAGAGAAATGTCACAAAGCTAAAAACTTTGCAGTCACTAAGATTTATATCACCAAATTCAGTAAGATAAACAACACCCTGAAATCGCAAAAGCACCTTAGTAACGAAAAAAAAAGAAAAAAAACTCAGATCTGTGACGAACCCAACTGTTGAAATGCAAAACCCACCAATGAATGTCCAGAAGAATGAGCCTTGAGACACTTTTGGAAATTTAAGCTCGATTGGAGCATAGACAAACCTCCGATTGTTGTTTTGATTTTTGAATAAACCCTGATTTGGTGGTTTTCTCTCCTTCTCTTCTCACGAAATCACACTATATTATTGTTTATCCACACACAAATTAGATCGATTTACAACTCCATCAAACCCTGTAACAACCGAAAACTGAATAAAACCCCTCGGAGATGTTATTAGCTTCGGAGTGAGTGAACTGGAGGTAAAATTTTAGGGTGGCAAATGGTTGCAAGAAAAAAAAGATATTTGGGTTTTGTGCAAAGAAACCCTCATACTAAATTGTTTTTACAAATCAAACCCTTACTTAAAAACTATACAAATTAATTAAAGGGTTTTGTGCAAAAAAAAATCTCATCTAAAACAAAATGCAACTCAAACCAACTAAATTTATGTATATTTGTGACATTATTTTTGTGCAAAAAAGCTCACCAACTAAATTCTTTTTATAAATTTAACTCTCAACTTATGAAATTATACAAACCAAATCTACAAAGTCGAAAATCACTGTTAAAATCATGTACATTTCGAGTTTTATGACGAGTATTGACGGAACGGGATATTTGAGAATCAAATTATACTATGCTATAAAAGTATTTTCTTATAATAACGGGATGAAAAATGATGAGAACAGAAAATTTGAGACTAAAGATATATATCCAAAGTTTTACTAAACCAGGAAAATTGGAAAGATTTTGGAAAATATTTGAAATTTTAGGACGGATATTGAACGCTTTAGGCCAATAATATTGACAGCCTAGGTTTATCGGATATTATAGCACTTGAAGACAAAACAAACTAATGGTTTAGTTATGTTGAAGTAGTATAGTGGTTATACCAAAACCACTAATTAAACTTTAAAACCAAAGATGTTTGTTAAAAAAACAGGTAGAAAAACTCCTCCTCTCTCTTTTCTTTTCCATCATGCCAACAAGAATCATCTTCCTCATCGCCGTCGCCACTTCTTTCATCGTCGTTCTTCTACTTGCTTTATTCTCACCCGTTCCCGATTACGACCCACCGGGATCACTCTTCTCCTTCTCCATCTACGTTCAACAAAAACACATCCCATCCTCCTCCTATTCCTCTCGCCGTTCTTCTCAACGCATGGCCAAGGCACACCACGGAGGAGGAGGAGGAGCACTGATTTTCCGGCGTACGCTCACGGAAGGACCCGATAACAATTCTAGGATTGTAGGCAAGGCTGAAGGGTTTATAATCCCTCATGAAGACTTTGCTAACTCGGATTTTAACGTGATATACTTGACGTTGGAGACTCCCGAGTACACGGGGAGTGTTAGCATTAGGAGTAGAGACATGGCACATAAATTGGAAGAGGTTATGGAGGTTGTGGGAGGGACAAGAGCTTTTGCCTTTGCTCGAGGAATTGCCATGTTCGCTGTGGTTGATGATCATGAAGAAACTGTAACTACTTACCGTGTTAAGCTTCTGCTTAGATTTCCACATACTTCTCATGTAAATCCACAATGATGGACACTTTTATCGTACAAATACGTATATACGTGTGTGTATCAATATGTTGTTTAAATATTTTCTCAACGTAAATTACAATTATACAACAAATATATTATGTATTCAAAACAATAAACAAAAAAAAAAAAATTGAATAAATTTATACGTACTTTTGATTTATACTGTCTACTTAAAAGAAGAAGACAATCTCGAGAAGACGAACATCGAAGCCGAAGAAATGAAGAGTGATGCAGCAAAACATGCAAGGTCCATAGACGTCACCAGTGGCGTCGTCGTGAACTTCTCCACCATCCCAACGTGAAGTATCATTACCACTGCATACCCTATTCTAGTCTTTACTTCACCAATGGAGTGATTGTTTTTGTTGGTTTTGTAGCTCACAAACATGTTGTAAATAGACTTCCCCAAAACTAGCATGGATGTGCCGAACAAGAACATATCTACAGTTATAAAGATCATAAGCATGGAAATAGTTAAGTGATTTTACTCTAGACAATCATGCACACCACTCAACAAGTCAGGATTAGAGCAGTACCTAAGGCTTCGATTAAAATATGAATCGTGTTTCCTTTAGCTCCATGTGATAGTCCGATAAGCCAATGTGTATAACATTCTATAACACGAGAGCAACCCTGTAAAATCGCATGTACAGTTCGGATTCATGACTACCAGCTTGATAATATGACATTTGTATTTTTTTAAAGCTGAAGAAGAAAACGTACCTCTAAGAAACACAGTACCGAACCCAATAAAGTTCCAACAACGGCGAATAGGGTGAAGAATCTGCAGTCAGTTATCACCTGCATTCAATTTGAGAATCCATATTAGATATTTTTGTGTGTAATCTCTAAGATGTAGTTAAATCTATTTATTTATTTGTGTATTTTTAATGAAAACTATATTTAACATGGTTCCACAAATGTGTCCATATACGTTGAGGAAAGTTCTAAAAGTTCCAAATAAAACATTTTAAAGAAAGCGTAAGCCGGCCGAGCCAAATACTAGGCTTACTAGCTAGGTAGGATTAGGACCACAGTCAATTTATAGCAAGAAATAATTTTTAACATTTGCTCTTACGAATTTAGTTCAAGTAACATAAACATAATAAAATGAGAATGAGACTCAAATTTAATGAATATTAAAAATTAAAGTAAGCAAAACTTGGTTAGGATCCAAACCTAACTGATATAGGCTTGTTTAATAAATGGAGAATAAAAGAGAGATATACCTTTTCTATATTTCGCTGCATCTGCAGTTTCCATGTCCGTCTTTTGATGGCTTGCCTTAAATCCGTAAGAACAATATCCGTTACTCGTGTGACAAGAAAAGCCAAATCCATCGATCCTCGTTTTACCTGTGTCGTACTTGTGATCAAAATCTCTGAACTACTAGGTGCATAAGCTTTCACCTCCACCGGCAACTTTCTCTCTTTATCTTTTAAGGTAGACCTCTGGTTCTGCTGGTTCTGGTTCTGGTTCTTGCCGTCCGATCCTAGCCTCAACGAGCATTTCAAGATTCTTGTACGAGACAGGTAACACGTCGGCGCAGAAGGAGAGAGATCCAATGGTCTTGAATTACGACGCAAGAGCAATCTAGTGGTGGTCATTTTTCTCTCTATTTTGCTTCAATATGAAAGCTGTCGTACCTCTCTGTCTTACAAATATACACCGACACATATATATAGTGATGATGTTAGTGTAAAACGATGTCTTGGTGTGGCGGCAAAGGGAAAGAGAAGATTCGTGGGATATTTCTAGTTTTGTCGTTTTATTGCGGACTTTCCTGAGGAAGGTTCAACCTTTTCTTTTGGACCGTCAATTTGGTATGCGTGTCGTGTCTCAATGCACAATTCTAGGCCGGACGTTAGCACCGATTTTGTTTTCCACCAAAATAATCTAAACACGTGTGTCAAACCCTCGTGAACGGTTCGTTTTTTTCTTTCTTTGTTTTCGTTCGTATGTTTACATTTTCATATTATTTTTCATTCATCGTTAGAAAGTTCTTAAAAAATCCTTACAAAAAAAAATTTTGTTTTAAAAATATTCGTGTATAAATTTAAATATATACATGTGATTGTGGGAGTTATTGCTAGTCGGAAATAAATGAACTTTTCTTTTGGGTACAAAATACACTTTTGTGACGTTAATAAAACAAAAATGGATGCCAAATTGATCTGCCTTCAAAATCCACTTTTGTGACGTTAGTGTCCTCCTCTCCAACAATATATATCATCTCAGAGTTCCTAGCATCATAATACACGAGGACTTTCTTCTCCTCATCGATAAAAAAAACCTCCACTTTTCCAAATTTGAGCTCCATGTTTGAAATCAACTGCTAAGACCTTGCTCCACGACACTTCTTTGGTCTCACTAATCTTACTTGTTACCCATATCTCTGTCTTATCTAGTTATCTGCACCAAAATGTTGTAATAACACGGCGATTTTTTCTTCTCTAATAATGGACAAAGACAGATTCCGATAACTAGGAAGCTGACGCGGAAGACATAGACGTTCAAATATTTCTGTTGTGTAATCAAAACTGATTAAGAATGAGCCCAACTCTTTTTCATCTCTAGCAATCCAGTAAGTCTTTCCCTTCAAAGACACGCCTTTATGAAGATACGGTAATTCGAAGTCCAAAACGAGATCAAGAGTCCTCCACGAAGAATCAGAGTCAATCTCATGAACTTTGAATTCTTGGTTGTCGCCATAAACCCTGTGGCTCAATATTTTGTAGCTAGTATCCTTGGATGATTTTTTGTCTTGGTAGGATCCGAGAGCATATGTGGTGTATATATCGTAACCATTGATCCACCTGGTTTGACCATAACACGGGTTCCATACCACAAGCCTAGCATTGAACTCATATGTGACACATAACAATAAGCCATCGCAGTGAAATACTCGACGAATTTGCATTTTATCTAAAGTAGAATGGAGGTCGGTTAGACTCAAATCATCTGTTACCTTTCTAGGTGGTGACAGTTTTTGGAGTTTGATGCTCAGGGAAAAAAACCTATTGTTGTTGAACAAGATAAACATAAACTGCTTCGGCGCTATATCGAAGTGCTTTCTTGTGAATTTTATGTCGTTGAACAAACGGTCCCATCGTTTGCAGGTAGATCGTAACCGTTTTAACGATGTAGCTGGAACGCGACAGAGAATCTCTTCTACCAGATCCCCTGGAAGTTCCGACATTAGCAAGAAACTGCCGGCGGCTTTGATGTGTTGTTTTAGGGTTTGTGTTTCACGTTTGCTAATAAAACGAAAATTATTTCTTTTTGAGTTTTTTCCCATTTGGTTTCTATTTTCTAATTATTTGCTTATTTTCCCCCATTTAATATTTATGTGATTCTGTTTTCAAATTTTCCTCCAAGTTGATCATATTGTTAACTTGTAATCAAGGAAAACTTCGTTGCTTTTTCAAACATAAGAAAGAAAAACTGATTTTTGACATTGAAAATATCGAAAGCAAGGCAAGATCATGTTTGATTCAGTTTCTTTTAACTAGACCTGGGCATTTTACCCGGACCCGAAAGACCCGAACCGAACCCGACCCGAAAAAGATGGAACCGAACCGAACCGGAACCAAGACAAATACCCGATGGGTCCAAAAAATTTATACCCGAAAAACCGAACCCGAACCGAACCGAACCGAGAACCGAATGGGTACCCGAAATATCCAAAATATAATTATATATCCAAAATATTAGTTATTTTTTAGACTTATAATAGCTTATAATACTAAAAAATAACTAAAATTACAATTATAAATCTAATATAATAGTTATATTTAGAACAAAATAACCAAAATATTCGAAAAGTCCAAAAATATTTAGTAGAAGATGGATTATAACAAGATTTTATCGGTTATTTTGTAGGATTTTGGATATTCGGTTAAAAAAACCGATAAAAACCGACCCGAATCAGAACCGAATGAGATCCCAATAAGAACCAAAATTTGTATAAACCCGAACGGGTCCATAAAATTTAGCCCCGAACCGACCCGAACCCGACGAACCGAACCGAACCGAAACCGAACCGAAATTTTCCTAAACCCGAACGGGTCTAAAATTTAGCAACCCGAATAAACCGACCCGAACCCGAACCGAAACCCGAACGCCCAGGCCTACTTTTAACCTAACTTCTTTATTATAATGTAATATTTACTAATTTAAAACACCTGTTTAGGGCCTCTCAAGACTTCTCACAGCGAAAGATCTCTCTGAATACCACGTGGCATTTACAATAACAACTTTAAAAAAAATTCGTCGCTTCCGTATTTCGTAAAAGTTTCTGCGTTCGTCTCTTAGAGGGCCACATGTCATAGTGTAAAACTTATTCTCATCTTTGTTACTTCGACGAGAAACTCTCCGTCTTCCTGAACTGAGTTATCCAATAGACCGATACATCTTCCTCCGAGTTCTTCTTAAATCCTCCGAGATCAAATAATCCCTTTCGTCATTCCTCTTTCCTCCTCCTTCAATTATTCTTTTAAACATCTCTTCCTCTCCACTTCTCCTTTCTTCACCGCTATTCAGATCTACTACACCTCGAGCTTCAAACATACATCACTACATGACATCAGATGCTATACAACGCATGGCATCACGATGGATTCTCGCTATGACCCATTCAATCAATCTCGGAGCAGCTCCCGCTGATACTCCGTTCTGGCTTCTTACCCCAATGGTAACGTTTGAATCTGTAATTTCTCAAATTAGTTGAGAAATATAACTCTGGAATCTAATTTGAATCTGAACTATCTCTGTGTTTGATTTGGTTCGGGTTCGGCGTTGCTGAGTAATCTAGCGGTGGTGTGAGGCCCATGGTCATGGAATTGCCGTGGAGGAGAAAACACGACCACTGTTGATGCGAAATACAGGATCAAAATGAAGAAGCTCATGAATAGCATCCTCGAGTCTGCCTTCTTCCAAGTTAGCTCCTCTCTCTCTCTCTCTCTACACCTATTTTATATTTCTTCGATTCATATTCACCAAAAGCATAATCACATTACAAAGAGGGATAACTTTTTACAAGGCTAGCAGAAGTTTGTGTTGTTTTTCTAAAAAGATCCATGCATTGGAAAATGATGGAGTTTTCTTAATGGCTAAAGCTTAGAAGAAACCTGAAGAAGGTTGGGTGATGCAGGATTGTACACCAGGGACTGGAAACAACACTCGTGATCATCCCATTATGATTCAGGTGACATACAAAACCTCAAAACCCCCAACATATTTTTCTCTCCCGACATACCATCAAAGATCACACTTTTTGGATCTAAAAAAACTACTTTGTAAATTCAATGCTTTTTTCAGGTGTATCTAGGAAAACAAGGAGCTTTCGACATTGACGGCTTCTGTATGTGTTGAGAGAGAAGCGTCCTGGTTACACACATCAGAAGAAGAGCCATGGATGCAATGGTAAGCAAACAAACATACAAGTAAGTCCATCAGAAGAAGTATTTTTTTCTTCTAATTAAACGCAATGGTTTGTTGGACTGTGCCCAGGTTCAAGAATCTGCAGAGCTTACAGATGCTCCATTTTTACTGAATTTTGATTGTGATCAACAACAACATTAGATCCATTAGAGAATTAATGTGCTTTCTGATGGGTCCACAGCTTCGGAAGAAGCTTTGTTATGTTCAATTCCCTCAGAGATTCTATTGAATTGATTTGATTTTTCCTTTACCTATTTGTTTTTTTTTTTTAACTATTTTCATCATTTCATGTCCAATTAAATTGATTTTAATGACTTAAAACTCAACATTGAACTCCAAGAGAAAAATCAAAAGATCTAAGAACATACTTATATTAACCTAAGACTATGCAGAAGAAGATAGACCCTAAGAGCAGCTGCATAAGAGAGATGTTATAAGGCTCTTTAAATGTTTGTTTTAATAAATAAAAAAAATTATTTTCGATCAAAACAAAAATATGATTTTCCAAAGAAAAAAAAAACCCAGTTGGGTTATGACACGTGGTTAACTTGTGTCAGAGAGACATCTTCAATACCTCTCCACGGAGAGACGATCTTGGGCTTTGGGCTTGCCACCTAGATAAATTATTATTTTTTTTTTTTGGGTTCTAGAACCGAGTCAAAACTCTCCATTGCACGTGTTTTAAGAATAGAAAACATTAATCTAATATCTAATACTAATAAAGCAAAAGTCACCTAATGGCTTCTTCCATTCGACACGTGTCCTTTTCATTTATTCTTTTTAATTTTTAATTTTATTTTTTTCGTTGTTTTTTTCAATTGTTTTTTTTTCTAACTTTTTCTTTCTGAAAATTCATTTTTCTAGACCACAATCTAAAGAAACTGCTACATCACGATCTAAAGCCACTGCTAAAACTATGAAATCCATGTGCTAAAAATAAAAAACCACCTAAATCTATTCATCTTCAATTACTTTGTTTTGTTTTTCTAGATCTCCAAATTCATCTTCCTCCTTTTCCTCCTTTCAAAATCAAAATCTGTGAGAAACAAATCCATGAATCAAGTTTCTTCTTCTTAAATCAGGTATCTCTGAATTTTTTCTTCTTCTTCCATCCGCCGGAATAGTTGAATCTGAAATTTCTGTGTGCAGAGTTGGAGACCAAGCTTTGATGATTCTTGTGCGTGGATGGGCATTTACAGACTCAGACTCACTTGAACTTTCCCCTTCCTCACTTTAAAAAAACAGGTAACCACATATTTCCATGATCTCTGGTTTTCGATTATTCTGTTTAAATATTACTGGAAATTGAGCAAAATTGATCTAATTTTGAAGATTTTTGCTTATATTGATGTATACATCACCGTCTAATTTTTCTCCTCAACTGCAAATAATATAATTTTTCTCTACTTTTCCTAACGATGAGCGAAATAATATGACAAGGTTTCCCGATCGAGTTCCCTTACGAATTCGATTCACCCTCTTTTTCCCCTGGTTTCACCTCTCCAGGAGACTCCACAGAGACGGAAGATGAGAGCAGTGACGACGAAGAAGACTTCCTCGCCGGTTTGACTCGCCGACTCGCTCCTTTGACTCAGGATTCTCGAAGCACCAAGCGGTGACTACAAAACTCTCTTTCTATGTTCTTAATCCGTAGCAAGATTGGATTTTTTTTTCATGTGGTTAATCTAAACTTTGAAAAAATAAACTGCTTGGAATTTATCTACGATCTGTTTATAAAACATGAATTGTGCAATCAATTACCATATCTATGATATATATATACGACAACTTTCTGCAAAGACCATCACCAATTTACTATTTTAAATTGGTTGCAGCAGAGAGAGACACATGCAAAAGTCCGATGTATACTTTAACAAAGTCTTTTATTCTTAAGTGTAATTTCGATTGCAGAAATCAACTGTTTGAGCATAAGAGTTTGGGATTCAGTTGGATGTTTAGAAAGCCATCACTGGAGAATCAAGCTGCACCTACCACACCTATTTATTTTGCTATCAACTTTATTGATTGGTGATGGCATGTGTAGATCGAGGATGAAATTGATTTTTATCTTATGTGATTCATATGAGTTCTGGTTTTGAGAAGATAAAGAGATAGTGTATTCTCTTTCGAAAAATAAAATTTCAAACCAACTTTACTTTCTCACTAGATTTTACATTTTCTGTATATTTCTTTCTTATTTACTATGCAGTTCTGTGTTTTTATCTTCTCGGTTTCACACAATATTCAATACAACACTAAATGGTGTTGATCTCAGAACATTATCTTTTATTATAAAGGTTTGAAAACAATTTTACTATTATAAAACTCTATATCCGTGCATAGCACGGGGCAAAATACTAGTATATACATAGGTCAAAGTAAATTCCAAAACCCTAATTGCCCGAAAATATAGAGAGCACTGATACACTTTGCTAGATTTGAGTCAAATTTGTTTAGACTTGTATTTAATATAGAGGGAGTCAAAATCTTTGGGAAAAATAAAATAAAATAAGTAGTTTCCGTTTCCGTTTAAAGAAAGCTATCTCGTTTTGAAATCTCTCTCTCTCTCTCTCTCTCTCTCTCAATCTCCCTTATGGAATTCAGATACAGAGCCAACGACGGTGATCGACTACCTCCTGCGACGGACTCGACAACGCCTTCTCAGTCGCTGAACCCTAACTCTTCCTTCTTCTCCGTGTCGCCACTTCCAGGTTTCTCATCTAAACTCTCTCGCTTCACCGTACGTCCTTTTCCTCTCTTCATAACCGAGAGACAAAACTGTTACGATTACGATTATGATTTGTTTAAGTAGCGATTTAGTTTCCGTAATGCAATTTTTAGTTTTTGTTTTCTGTTGAATTCCGCTGAATTTCACCAGATTCCTATAGCGAAACCTTTCTTCTTCCACTTAGAATTCTATAGAGTCGTCACTCTAATGGAACCAAATGATTCTTTTCGTTGATTTTTTTCATGTATTGATTCTGGCATTACATCATTTTATTGAGACTCTTGAATTTTTACAGGAACTCTTAAACTCTCTGAGATGCTTCTTTGATTTTTTTATCATTTTTTCCTTCTTTTGGCTGTGCAATATAGGAGAAGAAAGTGAGGATCATGTTCGTGAAGCTATTAAACGTGAAATCGAAAAGGAACAAATCCGGCAAGAGATCATTGCTGCAGAAACAGCGAGAAGAAGAGAGCTTATAGCCGAGGTTGTACAAGAGATGGCCATCGAGAGAGAAATGGCCATAAGAAGAGTCGCTGAGACGAAGGGAAAATCGCTAACTCAGAATAAGAACAATGGCTTATTCAGACAAAAATGTAGTTACACAGGAGCTACAACATCACCAATGATGCATCTGCTTCCACTCCAGCAAATGCCTGAAGCTACAGAAACATCAATCATGGAGCCTGTCAAGGAGAAGTTGATTGTACTGGTAAGTAAGTGCAATCGTCTTCACTACAAGTCTAATGGCTCTCGTATCTTGTCTTTGTTTCTGAGAGATGTGTGTTCTGTTTGATTCCTCTGTTGCAGGAGAGGGCTGATTCTGAAGGAGAGGATACTGATGAAACTGGTCTTGAAAGAGGAAAGCGTAAAGCAGATGGTGATGAGAAGGAACCTTTTGGAACGAAAAGGCTCAAGTCAACACGTGAGTTCAAGTTTTGGTGCGACGTTTGTAGTGTTGGGACCTATAGTGAAACAGTCATGAGGAGTCATAATGTAGGAAAAAAACATATGGCTGCTATTGAAAAACAGAAGGAGCTACCGGAGATTACGTCGGCTGCGTCATCCTCCCTCATCACTGCTCCTGCTTCCGTCACAGTGCTTGAAAATGCGAATGTGGAGGATCAGAAAGTGGATGCAATGGCGCTGAAAGAAACGGGAATGAAGACGGTGATGATGATTCGGTGTGAAACTTGTGATATTGTGACGAATTCTGAGAAGATGATGAAGATTCATAAGCTTGGGAAGAAACACAAGGCTCAGCTTAAGAAACAGTGTCCTGAGGAGGTGATGGTGGAGGCTCAACAGAACCGCAAGCCTCTTGATGTTTCAGATACCAATATCATTTAACAGTCCTGGTGAGATCTTTTGAATGCTGATTCATGAGAGAAAGGACCAGTTGTTCATTGCTTGGTCATGAGAACATGTTATATGGCTAAGTAATCGGATATTTTGAATTTCATTTAGAACAAAAGTGTATTTTATTTTTCTTTTCCTTTGTTTTTCTATGCAATGTCATAGACTCATAGTGGTTAGATTTAAACATGTTTTCTTTTTCTTTTTCTTTTTGTTGAATTTTTGGTATCTTGAAAAAGTCAAGACATGAATAAGAGTAAAGACCACAGTGTTTGCATTGGAACTATCATTAAGATCACAGGAGAGACGAAAACAACTCGTCTACAGTCTCTGATACTTTGATAAGTTCACAAGTCATATGTAAATATATGAGTCATCTTTATCGAGTGGTATAAAATCTTTCATATAAAGTCAAAATATATGGCGCTTGAAGGTTTTCCACAGCTGAAATTGCTAGTTTTCCTCTCTTGCGAGGAAGTTTGTAGCCCATGCAATGAGGGGAGACTAGGAGTTTGACCTGTTCAAGATGTTTTACGGCTCTTCACTATGTTGGGTTTTTTTAAGGTGGTATGGATATTTACTCCTTGGTGCGTCAATGATCCTTTTGGGATGCTCATGACTCCTCCATATGATCATGGATTTGGAGGATGCTCCTTAATAATTTTTTGCCTGACTACTGACATCTCTTGGGACGCTTCATAGACATTGTCAGCGAGGGCACTTGACAATTGGTCGTTTTGGCTTGAGTAATATAGCTTGTCGGGAATTAGACTTGGCTATTATGGAGCTGTCGAGATAGGGAACTGCAACATCTGGTTGAGCAAATGCAAAATAAGCCACTTCCAAACCAAGAAGGTGGAGATGATGTTTCTTTGTGGCATCACTCGCCCAATAAGTATTGAACGTGTTTCTCAGTCTATAACAATAACACCTTGGATCAGATTCTTACACATTGGGATAAGGTAAGAGAAAGTAAGGTGGTTTGGTGCTTGAGGGGTTTCAAGATTATCTTTCATTACAGGACTGGCAATCGCTATAATTAACCAGTAATCATTAAGGCTATCAATAATTCTAGTGCCAAGCTTAAATTATCTCCTATAATCAGTAAGACTATCAATAGCTCTAGTGCCAAGCTTAAATTATCTCCTCAGTAGACTGATCACTAGCGGAGCTTTTGAGTGGATCAGCTTCACTTTTTAACTTTGTAAGGCTTGAGATGCTAGCAAAGTGGCTGTTGTGAGGCTGATTCTGTTTTCAGTTTTAGTCTTGTTTGGTTTTGGTAATAAAACCAAAGTTCATAAGGAAAAGGAAAGTTACTACAAGAAGGAAAAGGAAAGTGAAGACAATTGGGAAAAGGAAGTTCTCCTAGTCGCGATAGGAGTCTTAGGTTCTCTTCTATAAATACATGTCATTGTCTCTTCCTTTCTCTTTGTATCGAACAAGCTCTTCCTTGCTCATTGATTCTTAAAGCTTGGTTTTAGAGCTTTGTAAACAGTTTCCAAATATTAGTGAATTGCCGAATCGAATCGGCCCCAGAGTAGGTTCAATCATATCGATTGGATTGAGTTGGGAAAACAAATCTCTTGTGTCTTTGTTCTTGCTTTTACTTTTGATTCTTAGAGCAAAGTTAGTTGAGAGATTGTGAGGATTGTGAGTTCTATTTTTAACAAAGTGGTATCAGAGCCAGGTTCATGGCTAAAGAACTCATGTCGAGCATTTTAACGGAGAAGGAGACTTCTCGTTATGGAAGATTCGAATGTTGGCACACTTTGGAATGTTAAGGATCAAACACATCTTGTTTGATGATAATCTGGATAAGGTGGTTCCGTTGAGCAAAAGCGAAGAGAAGAAACCAGCTGTTGCTGATGATGATGGGTCAGCTACTGATTCGCCGTCTGCGTCAGACCCTCTCACGAAGACCGTACCAGATCTTGTGAAGCACGATCAGAATGAAAGAGCTATGGGAATCATTATCGCGAACATCGATAATGTTGTCTTACGAAAGATTAAGCATTGCACAACAGCAGCTGACATGTGGGCGTTGTTGGATCGCTTGTATACCGAGAGCTCTTTACCAAATCGAATTCATCTACAAATGAAGTTCTACACGTTCAAGATGAAGGAAACGATGACTGTTGATCAAACGGTTGATGATTTCTTGAAGATTGTTGCTGAGATGGGAAATCTTGAGATTGAAGTATCTGATGAGGTTCAAGCAATATTGTTCTTGACGTCTCTCTCACCAGGCTTTGATCAGTTGAAGCACACCCTGAAATATGGAAGAGAAACTCTGAAGCTTGAAGATGTTATCTCAGCTGCAAAATCGAAAGAAAGAGAGTTTCCTGAAGGTCAAAGGAGTGACAAGGGATCAGCTTTGTATTCTGAAGATAGAGGTAGATCCTCAACAAAAGGAAAGTCTGATAGGAGCAGGAGTAGGTCGAATTCAAAGAGTAAATTGACTTGTTGGTTCTGTAAAAAGGAGGGACACCTAAAGAAAGACTGTTTTGCGAGAAAGAAGAAATTACAAAATGAAGGTCTAGGAGAAGCTGGAGTTATCATTGAGAAACTTGTGTTCACAGAAGCACTAAGTGCAAACGATCAAGATTCAAAGGAGCAGTGGGTTATCGATTCTGGTTGTACCTATCACATGACATCAAGGAAGGATTGGTTCTCGGAGTTCAATGAGAATGCAAGCACAACAATTCTTCTTGGAGACAATCACACCGTTGAATCAAAAGGGTGTGGATCCGTGAAACTCAGAACTAATGGTGGCTCTATCAAAGTTCTGAATAATGTGAGGTATGTTCCTAATCTCAGAAGGAATCTGATATCTACTGGAACTCTAGATAAGCTAGGATATACTCATGAAGGTGGAGATGGTGTAGTTAGCTTCTTTAAGAATAAGAAGTTAGCTCTGTGTGGTATTCTGAAGAATGGGTTGTATATCCTAGATGGCAGAACATCTATGAGTGAGGCTTGCAATGTAGAATTGTCAAAGAATAAGACGGCATTATGGCACAGCAGACTAGGACATCTAAGTCTGAATAATATGAAGATCTTATCAGGAAAAGGCTTGCTGGAGAAGAGTGACGTGAAAGATTTATCTTTCTGTGAGCATTGTGTTATGGGAAAGTCTAAAAAGCTGAGCTTCAATGTGGGGAAGCATGACACAGAAGACGCTCTTGGATATGTTCATGCTGACTTATGGGGATCGCAGAATGTAACTTCATCTCATTCTGGAAACAAGTACTTCTTGTCTATCATAGATGACAAGACAAGGAAAGTTTGGTTGATGTTTCTCAAGACAAAAGATGAGACATTCAAGAACTTTTGTGAGTGGAAAGATCTCGTTGAGAATCAGATTGATAAGAAGGTCAAAGTTTTGAGAACAGACAATGGCTTAGAGTTTTGCAATACAAGGTTTGATGAGTATTGCAAGAGGCACGGGATTGAAAGGCATAGAACATGCACTTACACACCGCAGCAGAATGGAGTAGCTGAGAGAATGAACAGAACAGTGATGGAGAAGGTCAGATGTCTACTTGATGAATCAGGTTTAGGCGAAGTCTTTTGGGCAGAAGCAGTTGCAACAGCAGTCTACTTGATTAACAGATCACCATCTTCTGCAGTGGATCACAATGTACCAGAACAGTTTTGGTTAAACAGAAAACCAGGTTACAAGCATCTGAGAAGATTTGGGTCTGTTGCATATGTTCATCAAGACCAGGGAAAGCTCAAGCCTAGAGCTTTGAAAGGTGTATTCTTAGGCTATCCTCAAGGCACTAAAGGATACAAGATCTGGTTGATTGAAGAAGAAAAATGTGTGACTAGCAGAAACGTGATATTTCATGAAGACTTGGTGTTCAAGGATTTGAAATCTGAAGGAAGGATTCAACAAGTTTCTAGAGCTTATCCATCCATAAGAGAGTTTACAGAAAACTCTCCTGAAGATGTTACTGAAAAAGAGACTACAAAGATTGCAGAAAGTTCTAGTGCAGGTGGAGCTATTCCAGTTAGCTCAAGTGATTCAGAATCAGAAGAACCTGAAAATAACGGTGAAACAGAGACAAGTGCAGAGCCGCAGAGTTATTGTCTTGCAAGAGATCGACCCAGGAGAGAGATTAAACTTCCAGTGAAGCTTAATGACTATACTGAATTTGGTTTTGCTCTGTTAGCAGCAGAAAACGTTGATATAGAAGAACCTCAATGCTATCACGATGCAAAGAGGAGTGAAGATTGGGTCAAGTGGAATGATGGAATGATTGATGAGATGAAATCTCTGTGGAAGAACAACACTTGGATCATTGTTGATAGACCTATAGACAAAAAGGTTATCAGCTGTCGTTGGTTATATAGAAAGAAACCAGGAATTCCTATGGTTGAACCTGAGAGGTTTAAAGCTCGAGTTGTAGCTAGAGGGTTCACGCAAAGAGAAGGAATTGACTATGATGAGGTATTTGCTCCAGTAGTGAAACATATTTCCATCAAAATCTTGATGTTTTTGGTCGTTCAAGAGAATTTGGAGTTGGAGCAAATGGATGTGAAAACAGCGTTCTTACATGGAGACATTGATCGAGAGCTTTACATAGAACAGCCTGAAGGGTTTGAGGTAAATCCTGAAAAGGATCAAGTCTGTTTATTGAAGAAGTCGCTTTATGGATTAAAGCAAGCTCCACGACAATGGAACATGAAGTTTGACACTTTTATGAAGAATCAGAAGTTCACCAGGAGTATACATGATTCTTGTGTATATGTGAAAGAGGTTGGACATGAAGATTACATCTATCTTCTCTTATATGTTGATGATATGTTCCTGGCTGCTAGGAGTATGACAGAGATCAGGAAGCTAAAGAATGTTCTAAGTCAAGAGTTTGAGATGAAGGACATGGGTGCAGCAAGCAGAATACTGGGAATCGACATTAAGAGAGATAGAGAAAAGGGAACTCTATGTTTATCTCAATCAAGATACATAGAGAAGGTTATACAAAGGTTCAACATGAGTGGGGCAAAGATTGTTACTACTCCGATTGGTGCACATTTTAGGCTTTCATCTACAAAAGAAGATGAAGAAGGCGTTGATATAGAGATTGTACCATACTCAAGTGCAGTCGGAAGCATTATGTACGCTATGGTGGGAACTCGTCCTGATGTAGCTTATGCTATTGGACTTGTGAGCAGGTTTATGAGTAAACCAGGAGCAGTACATTGGGAGGCTGTCAAGTGGCTACTAAGATACTTGAGAAGTTCTACAGATCTAAATCTGGTCTACACCAAAGGCGAAAATTTCAGAGTTCAAGGATATTGTGACTCTGATTATGCAGGAGATTTAGACAGGAGAAGATCAATTAGTGGCTATGTGTTTACAGTCGGAGGTAATACAGTAAGTTGGAAGTCAAGTTTGCAGTCAATTGCAGCTTTATCTACTACAGAGGCTGAGTATATTGCTCTTACAAAAGCTGTTAAGGAAGCAATATGGATTCGAGGTTTATTGATTGATATGGGTTTGAAAGCAGAAAAGGCTTCGGTTTGGTGTGACTCTCAGTCAGCTATATGTTTGTCTAAGAACAATGCATTTCATGAAAGGACAAAACATATGGCTACTAAGTTCAATTTCATCAGAGATATCATCGAGGAAGGAGAAGTGGAAGTTCTGAAAATCCATACATCTGAGAATCCTGCAGATATGCTTACTAAAGGCATTCATGTGAAGAAGTTTGATTCAGCTTTAGAGTTTCTAAAGTTGATCAGGTGAAGATGGAAAAAGTCTTCATGCCGAGGTTAGATTCAAGATTGCAATTCGCTAAGGGGAAACAAGAAAACGAATCAAGGTGGAGTGTTGTGAGGTTGATTCTGTTTTCAGTTTTAGTCTTGTTTGGTTTTGGTAATAAAACCAAAGTTCATAAGGAAAAGGAAAGTTACTACAAGAAGGAAAAGGAAAGTGAAGACAATTGGGAAAAGGAAGTTCTCCTAGTCGCGATAGGAGTCTTATGTTCTCTTCTATAAATACATGTCATTGTCTCTTCTTTTCTCTTTGTATCGAACAAGTTCTTCCTTACTCATTGATTCTTAAAGCTTGGTTTTAGAGCTTTGTAAACAGTTTCCAAATATTAGTGAATTGCTGAATCGAATCGGCCCCAGAGTAGGTTCAATCATATCGATTGGATTGAGCTGGGAAAACAAATCTCTTGTGTCTTTGTTCTTGCTTTTACTTTTGATTCTTAGAGCAAAGTTAGTTAAGAGATTGTGAGGATTGTGAATTCTATTTTTAACAGTGGCTAATGTCTTTGTGGAGAGAAAAAAAAAACTATTTTATTTAAATGCTTTTGTATTTTTATTGATTCATATGCACTTTTTATGGCTACAATCTTCGGAATTTGCTAAACTGAGATATTGATTCCTATGCACTTGTAATGTTCCTACCTTTTAAGGAATCAAAATAATCTTGTGATGACAACAAATGAGATATATTTTTTGATGAAGACACAACAAAATACGCAAAGATACCAAACGAACGTTCGGGACCTTTATCGAATAAAAACTAAAAAGTCGTTATCAAACATTTTCCAAAAATATATACGCATTTAGACACGTGCATTTTTGAATAACATATTGATCCCTTTTACTATTTTGAGGATATTATACGAAGGTGGGAATCAAAACTAATAAAATACAAAATAGAGCAACAAGTTGTTATGATGATACCCATCATAATACATGATAACAACTTTTGTAGTCAAAGCACGTGGCTATTTGTATACACAGCACAGCTCGGCCGGTGGTCATACTCCAGAGAGAGAGATCTCGCGTGGTCTGAAAAAAAGAATCTTCCTTCCACACCAACCAATACAATACAATACATGGGCAACGGACGGAAATAGACTAAAATAAATTTTTGGTATAACTAAATGATTCATTTTTGTCATAAGAAAATTATTGGTCTATTTTAGTCATACCAAACAAAAAATAGTCTATTTTTCTAGTCTTTTTCTACGTATAAAATTCATTATTTTTTTTTTGACGGCAAATTCATTTTTTTATGGTCAAAATCTAATGATAATTTTGATATAAGATCACTCTAATTCTCTTTCTCTGTAGTATATAGAAATACAATAAAAAATAAAAATACAATGAAATCTACATAACTAATAAGGCTTGGACAATCTCCAGCCTTTGACACGTGGCACTCTCTTTTTTTTTTTTTTTTTTTCGCCTAACACCAAAACGACGTCGTTTTGCGCTTTATTTTTTTTTTTTTTTTCGTCTTACACCAAAACGACGTCGTTTTCGTATTAAAAAAAAAAAAAAAAAAAAAACTAAATCAAAATTATGTGTAATGCTGTTCGTTTTGATGGGCTTGATTATTTATCGGACCTCTTCGTTTCCATGGTAGCTTTAAATGGGCTTACTGGCTAATTAGCTCATTTCATTTCCTTTTAAAAAGGATTGCAATTATTATTATCTATGAGTCTGTAGGATAATAATCAATCTATAATGATTGTTAGTATAAGGAAAATTAGAAGAACTCAACTCCAGTCGATAAATTATTGTATAAAAGAACAAAAAACATATGAAACTATTCACTATGAGTCTATATAAGATTTCACGTAAATAACAACTAAATTTTAAAACTATATGAAAAAAAACAAAATGCAAAACTTACAGAATCTAATATATTCGAGTAAAAAACAAATGATATATTCGAATCTAATGTTCTGAATAATTAAATTAAAAATATTTGGTTTAATAAACCCGCGCATTGCGCGGGTTCTCTCCTAGTAGCTCATAATTTTTACAACAAACCGATTTCTGTATACCACAATGATTCACGATAGACTGTTTTATCTGCATTATTATTAGACTTATAATAGACAATTATATTTCAATGTACCGAACCACAACAAGCAAATGACATAAATTTGCATCTCTCAAGAATATAATAACAGATTTGGTATATAAATATTAATAAACTCTTACAACTAGTGGGTTTTAATAAAAATTCACCAATCAAAATACACTAAGACCAAAATTAACAAATTAAGGACGGGTAAACGACAAGACCACGAGTCACACGCCTTGTCTGTTTTTAGTTAAGTAATGAATGTTAGTCTATTTAAACCCCAACCTGTAACTAGAAAAAGAAGACGATGTAAGTTCTAAGGTCAACTTCATCTTCCTTGAATTTAACTGAAAAAATACATAAAACATTGTAATCGCTCTCTTGTTCTATCTTTTATTTGAACTGTTTCATACGATCAGTGATTATGCTCGAGTAACATAAATTTAGAGCACGGATTTTACCACACGCAACCATACCAAACTACCAAAGGTCGATTAAAACGTTGGTAAATTTTTGAATTCAGTCCATAACATTTAACCATAGATAGCAACAAGTCATCTACCACTCGCCCACACGCTTAAATAATGCGTTCCCCTTTTAAGTCTTTTTCTTCAGTTCACATTTATATTTCCTTTCTTTATAAATACAAATTCTAGTCGTCTCTGTTTCTCCACAACCAATTATCATATCAATCATCACCCAAAAACGAAACAAAAATGGCTTCTGTCTCATCTCCTTTCCCTATTTCTCTTCACCCACGAATCAAATCCAACGCCGTAAAGCACCCCACGACTCGAGTTTTGACCCGTCCGATCAAAGCCTCCACGTCAGAAACTCCTCCCGATCTAGCCGTCGCGACCCGAACCGGATCCGGATCCAAAAATCTCCCGATCCGAACCATCCCTGGAAACTACGGTCTACCAATTATAGGACCTTTCAAAGACAAGCTCGATTACTTCTACAACCAAAAACCAGAAGAGTTCTTCAAATCTCGAATCCGTAAACACAACTCCACAGTGTTCCGAGTCAACATGCCTCCGGGCGGTTTCATAGCCGAGAACCCGCAAGTCGTAGCTTTACTCGACGCCAAAAGCTTCCCGGCTCTGTTCGACGTTGACAAAGTCGAGAAGAAAGATCTCTTCACCGGAACTTTCATGCCTTCCACTGAGCTCACCGGAGGCTACCGTATCCTCTCTTATCTCGATCCGTCGGAGCCGAATCACGCCAAGCTCAAATCGCTTCTCTTCTACCTCCTCAAATCATGCCGTAACAGAGTCTTCCCGGAGTTTCGAGCTACTTACTCGGAGATGTTCGATTCGATCGAGAAAGAGCTCGCCGCTAACGGAAAAGCCGATTTCGGCGGTCCGGCCGACGGAGCCGCCTTTAATTTCCTGGGCAGAGCTATGTACGGGACGAATCCGGCCGATACTGAGCTTAAATCCGACGCGCCGGGTCTGATCACGAAATGGGTCGTATTCAACCTCCACCCGATACTGTCTGTCGGTTTACCGGCGTTTCTCCAAGAGCCTCTTCTCCATACTTTCCGTTTGCCTCCGTCGCTGGTCAAATCTGACTACCAGAGACTGTACAAGTTTTTCCTCGAGTCTTCCGGTGAGATTCTCGCGGAGGCCGAGAGATTGGGCATCTCGCGAGAAGAAGCCGCTCACAACCTTGTTTTCGCCACGTGTTTCAACACGTGGGGTGGGATGAAGATCCTTTTCCCGAATGTCGTCAAACGGGTCGCTCGGGCGGGTACCAATTTGCAGATCCGGTTAGCGGAGGAGATTAGATCGGTGATCAAATCTAACGGCGGAGAGCTCACGATGGGTGGGATGGAGCAGATGGAGCTGATGAAGTCTGTTGTTTTCGAGTCTCTCCGGATCGAGCCGCCGGTGCCGCACCAATACGCACGTGCGAAGAAGGATTTCGTGATCGAGAGCCACGACGCGGCGTTTAAAGTGAAGGCGGGAGAATTGCTTTACGGATATCAGCCGCTCGTGACGAAGGATCCGAAGATTTTCGATCGGGCGGAGGAGTTTGTGCCGGATCGATTCGTCGGAGAGGAAGGGGAGAAGCTGTTGCGGTACTTGGTGTGGTCGAACGGGCCGGAGACGGAGAATCCGACGGTGGGGAATAAACAGTGCGCCGGGAAGGACTTCGTAGTTCTGGTGACAAGGCTTTTAGTGATTGAGATTTTCCGGCGATATGATTCGTTCGATATTGACGCTGGTGCGGCGTCGTTGGGAAGTTCCGTTAATTTCACGTCGTTAAGGAAGGCTAGTTTTTAAGAATCGGGGGGTAAATTTGTAATATTATGTTCGCACGTGTTAGTTCATTCATTTTGTCTGTACTGTACTGTACTACTATCTGCTGTCTTTTTCTTTTTTCTTTCTCCTAATCCAGTCAATTATATACTTGAATAAAGAAAATAACGTGTTTCTTGCTTCATATAGTATATTTTAACTTTTTCTTTCCACTTATTTATGCTAAGAATTTGACCTCCGGATTATGTTATGGAGAAAAAATTGCCGGTTACATATTTCTAGTTAACTACGCCAATAAAAATGAATGCACGGTGACATGTATGAAGAAACCAAAAATATGTTGCAACACATTCATAATATTTATTATACAGTGTCACACTGAATTTATAAAAATGTTTACTGTTGAGGCCAGAAAGTCGTTGTGGGAAGATATGAATGTGTTGTGAGAAAGTCGTTGTGAGAAGCCATCATGATTCTCCTACCTGTGTGTGATGTGGGTCGGGCCTAAGCCCAGTTAAACAATTCTTTTGAGTAAGGCTTTATAATATGTTTTCAACAATTTTAAGACCCGTTTTTTTTTTATACCCAATTTTAGACCCCTAGTTTAAAATTTTGCTATGTACACCCACATAAATATTGAACTAGTCTTATACTAAGCTTTTGTACAACAACAGAGATATACTAAGATTTGAATTCTGCATAGTCATATTGTAGAACTACTATATAAAAAGAACAAAGTAAGCGTTGTGAGTCTTAATGGAATTAGAATCCAATTTTATCAAGAAAAAAATAGAGACTAGAGAGTATATCTTTATTATCTAATTTTAAACCCATTCAATAACTTTTTTTTCTTATCAAGAAAACTTTATTTAATTAAGTAAGTAGCAATCAAACAATAAATATGCTCAAGAGAACAAACAATATAAGTATAGAATTATAGAAATATAAAGATTTTATCATGTATGGCTGATCACTTTAGGGAAACATTATTCTTCAGAAACTCAGTTCATCATGTATATGTCTGTTTAGTATAGTGGAGGAGGGGGAGAGCTATAGGTATAGCTTGGAGGAGACTTGTAAACATAAGGAGGTGGTGGTGGAGAGCTGTAGACGTAAGGAGGAGGAGGAGGAGATTTGTAGACATACGGAGGTGGTGATGGAGAGCTATAGACGTAAGGAGGAGGTGGTGGCGACTTGTAAACATATGGGGGAGGAGGTGGGGAGCTGTATACGTAAGGAGAAGGAGGTGGTGGTGACTTGTAAACATACGGAGGTGGTGGTGGAGAGCTATAGACGTAAGGAGGAGGTGGTGGCGACTTGTAGACATACGGAGGAGGAGGTGGGGAACTGTAGACATAAGGAGGAGGTGGTGGAGAACTGTAGACGTATGGAGGAGGAGGGGGAGATTTGTAAACATAGGGAGGTGGTGGAGGTGAGCTATAGACGTAAGGAGGAGGTGGTGGTGACTTATAAACATATGGGGGAGGAGGTGGGGAGCTGTAGACGTAAGGAGGAGGTGGTGGAGATTTGTAAACATATGGAGGTGGTGGTGGAGAGCTATAGACGTAAGGAGGAGGTGGTGGTGACTTGTAAACATACGGAGGTGGTGGTGGAGAGCTATAGACGTAAGGAGGAGGTGGTGGCGACTTGTAGACATACGGAGGAGGAGGTGGGGAGCTGTAGACATAAGGAGGAGGTGGTGGAGAACTGTAGACATATGGAGGAGGAGGGGGAGATTTGTAAACATAGGGAGGTGGTGGAGGAGAGCTATAGACGTAAGGAGGAGGTGGTGGCGACTTATAAACATATGGGGGAGGAGGTGGAGAGCTGTAGACGTAAGGAGGAGGTGGTGGAGAACTGTAGACGTATGGAGGAGGAGGGGGAGATTTGTAAACATAGGGAGGTGGTGGAGGAGAGTTATAGACGTAAGGAGGAGGTGGTGGTGACTTGTAAACATATGGAGGAGGAGGTGGGGAGCTGTAGACGTAAGGAGGAGGTGGTGGTGACTTGTAAACATAAGGAGGAGGCGGTGGAGAGCTATAAACATACGGTGGTGGAGAATATGTGTATTGAGCACTTGTATGAGCAGCCATGGCAAAGAAGGCCAAGACCAACATATGTACGGATGACCAATTCTTTGGATTGGCCATGTCGATTGAACTTGTGTGCTCCTAACTCTTGTTTCTGCTTTGATAGTATGATTCTTATTATTCAGCCAACTTATTTTTGAGTGGATTGTAATAGAAATTATGCAATTTATATAACATTCGGTACGACAACTAGTGTGTTTGTTTATTGAAGTTTATGAATGTTTCTTAGTGTAATATTGTTTAATAAATTTATTTTGTTCAAAATTTGTCTGAAGAAAAACAAAAGAGGAATATGTCTTGGCAAGTCGCAACTACTCCTTTATTTGATACATATTTGTTTATGCATACTTTGAAGTTGTCCATTTAAACGCGGCGTCATTTAAAAAAATAATATCTTGGAATTATCTATCACTTAGGTGTTGATTTTTTTCCCGCGGTAACATCCACACATGTAATATTTGCATGCAGTCACAATTGTTGGCATGTAACATTAATCACAAAATCGCTAATTAGTATTGTTTTGTAATGTTGCAAACGCTCGCGGTTTGCAGGTGGATAACAAATATTATCTTAATTATTAATGAAATTTATAAAATATCTAAAAGAAATTATAACAAATTTTCTCTCTTCAACCATGTACTATTATATCAAGTTACAGTGTTTTGTTTTAGGTAAGCCTTTTTGACACGGAAGGTTATTCTTTAAATATGAATATCTGAAAGCAGATTTCAGACGCTGTAAGAGATTATGGGCTAAATTGACAACTTCCAAGTCCATATATTCAAATATGTAATTTGGTAAGGGGTAGTTACTAAAGACATATTCTCTAGTTTATCTTTAGACAAATGCTTAAGCTAAATTGACTTTTTAAACCTTATGATACTATTCCTTGAGGAAACATTCAAAAACTTCAATAAACAAGCATACAAATTGTCGTACTGAGTGCTACATTATAATACTATTCCTTAAAGAAACATTCAAAAACTTCAATAAACAAGCATACTAGTTGTCGTACTGAGAGGAGAGCTATATAATTGCATCCTTTCCATAAAAAAGACATAAGTTGATTAGTTAAACTTAAAATCGTACTAACAGAACAGAGACAAGAAACAACACTCAAGTTCAATCGACATGGCCAATCCGAAGAACTGGTCATCCTTACTAATGTTGGTCTTGGCCTAGGATGTCATTGCAGCTCAACTAAGGTTTTTCTTGTATTTTAGAAACATCGTCGTTTTAATTCACAACAAGTAAACACAATTAACGCCTTATTAAATAAAAGTTAGGGTTGCCTAAATTGATATTTTAATTGGTCAAGTCAACATAAATGTGTTTTTTTTTTTGCTTATTGAAGAGGTTGTGTTTTTTGGGGTAAAACTAGAAACGTGCTTGTTCCGTATTTTAATGACCATTTTTTTTTATCAATTATGAATATTAATATATATTTATAAATGATAAAACTGTGTTACTCCAATTAATGATAAAACTATATTTTTATAAGTTTTAAGGTGTGGACCAATCAACTAGTTCAAAGTATACGTTTTCAATATCACAGCCTCTACATCAAAAGAAAATTACTCTTTCACAAAAGTAAAAAATAATTACAATAATAGCTAACACTTTACTGTAAAATATTGATCTCCTATGTCTTTTATGATTGTCAATTTGTCATATACATGGTCCAGCAAAAGTTGTCCGACACTTTTCACTTGCTTACGTATTTAACGTATACCCGAAGGCCTAGTGCAATTCAAAAATAAAAATAAAATAAAATTTCAATTGCAATGTTTGAAAGTCTTTCAATATATCATTATCGTTACTCCACATTACAATATCGATGCCTCTGAAAGACAGAAACAGACGACCACAGGAAGAAGATACTGCAAGCATTAAGCATAGATACTGTACATTCATTTGGATTCGATAATGAAAATGACATGGGTAATTTACTAATATTACGACTTTGAGATAAAGACATATGTTAGTGAGAGCATTAATGAGTTTTTTACAAGAAAATGAGTAAATGGAATATTGGTTATTCTTGTGTAGGAGCTGACAATAAAATGACCACAAAAGGCAGTTTTAGAATGAATGAGTCAAAAAACAAGGAATGTTAAGACGGAAGCATTTTGTTTATCATTTCCATTTTCATGAAACTGTACCTTGCCACTTTGTGGTCCGCTCTTGTCTCTCAATTATTAATTACAAATAACGTTGAACACTTTAACCCATAAAAAAATGTGTAAGAAACAGTTCTATTTCAGAGGCATTTATGAGCATTTAACTGATGCTGATGATGATGATGAGATGATGATTATTTAGTTAGAGGTAATCACATGACTTTATCACTGTTGAGTACCATGTTCGTGTAGTATAATCAAAGTACAAGTTTTTACCATCCCTTTCTAAAGGACAAGATTATGAATTTTTTTTACCATACTTATATAAGAACGATGCCAAAACAAAAACAAAAATCATGCTGATATAGAACATAAGTATAATTTTTATTATTATTCACCTTAGAAGCAATATTATTATTCAAAGCATGCACAAAATCCACAATGGACCCCTTTTGCGGCTCTAGAACGTTGCAATGCAACTGTAGAATGTCAAACTTAGATCGATTGTCCAAAACATTATGTTTCTCTTGATGTTAATGTGTAAGCTTTAGATACAAAAAAAAACATATTTATAATCATTTAGTGAGAATCTCTTCTTCATCAGTCATTGTAGCTTCTCCCATTATATGACTGAGTCTTACCTCCTATTATAACATGCTAAAATGTAAAGGTATCCTCAAGGTTATGACGTCAAACTTTTTCTCAGCATCGTAGTGTTATATTTCGACTCTCTTGAGGTGTAGAGCTGTATTGAAACAACAAATCATATGCTTTTTGAATGTCCACCAGCTTTTTAAGTTTGGGCTTTGTGTTGGGAAAAATGCCTATACAGGCGACAGTTAATTACAAAAAAAAAAAAGAGTTAATTAAGAAGGTGCATCGCACATGAATCGGATTATATTCGAACGGTGATATTTAGTTGACTTTTACAAAACAATTACACAAATCGGTAAACACAAACAAATCATCTAAACTTTCTTTAACCAAACAAAATTCCAGTTGCGTATTGCAGACAAAGTGCCCGTACATTTCTCCAATGCAATAATTTATACATTTCTTTTAGAAAATTGCAAACGAAACAACAAAGTAACGATGCAAGATGAGCTCGAGCTATGACAAGACAAACACATGGAATATCGAATAAAGTACAAATGCGAGCAAGAGAGAGATGTTTGACCGGATATTACACACGCCCTTTTCGATACATCCAACCAGATCAAAAGGGATAATTCGATTAGTATTTGTATTGTTAATTATTACATTATCACTTGAATTGCTTATTTGATTTTCATAACATTAGAGGTTAATTATCCCATTTCCCAGAGAATCTAGAGCGCATTAGTCGCTGACCCTTGCTTCTTAAACCAATTTAATAATCTCATTTTTTTATAACAAAAACAGAATTAGGCTTTTCCTTTACTTTACTTTTCACTTTTCTTTTAAATTGCTTGCAACACTCTTTTCTAATAAGTGAACTATTTTTTTTTTTCTACAAAGATATAGGGAATCTGTATTATTTATATAGTAACACCATCCTTTTGTTTTTACGTTCTGGCATAAATGGTTTTTTTTTCGTTGGTCAAGTTTAACATATATATGTTGGTCAACTAATATTTTTCTACTATCGTGGAGAAAATGCAACATTAATAAAGTTTTTTTTCAAGAAGATCAAGAAAAAAAATCTAACTAGTGCGGCCTGATAAGCCCCGATTATCTCTTAATTTTTTAAAAAGGTAATTAAGACAAATATTTCTTCCAATCTCGAAGTATTTGAGTTTGTAAACCAAACAATAATACCAATGTGGAGTAAGCATAGGAGTCATCAAAAGAAAATAGGATTCCAACTAAATGTTTAAGCGTAAATCCTTTTGTCAAGAAGAATGAGTTGCGTTGTCTAAAAAATTTCCAAACCAAACGGTTGAACCGGTCCGACAACGAGTTGGATCATCTTCGAAATAGTTCAATCTATCAAATCCTAAAAACATAGGAAACTATCAACAATCGTGATACTATTTGGACTAATATATACGTATACAACTGAAGTTATCCAGTTCAGCTGTTTGAACTAGATTAAATCGTGATACAATCGTTTAGCCAATTGGATGTCCAGGTAAGGTTTTTTTTTATAATGATTTTGTGTGTGTGTGTGTGTGTGTGTGTGTGTGTGTGTGTGTGTGTGTGTGTGAAGTATGCCAAAAAGTTGATATAATCGATTCAATGATTTGTCTCGGGCCATTTTTTTGGTTGAATGTGAAGAACTCGGACCATATTTTTTAGGGAATGATCCGGGAAATAGTGTCTTTTTTATATATATATATATATATAAGAGAGTGCGTGTGGGATAAACAAGAGGCATATGTAGTCACGTAGATGTCGAGAAATGGAATTATAAATATAAGTGTCACGTGATAGGAGGCCATGTTGGCGCCGAGGAATGTGGGGCTCGACAGCTTCCTCTAGACAAATTACAAAACGTCAAACACATTAACATATAAGCAAAACTAAATAGGGAAAATGTTATATATAGGTTGTATATATAACAATACATTTTTGTTTATATAGGAGAGTAATATTTAAGATATATAATGGAAAACAAAAAAAAAATGAGAAGGGAATATTGGGGCTCCCATGCAGCATCTATGTGCCACGACAAAATGCTACCCGTTGAATTGAACGCCTTCTACTGTCCTCCTCTCTATCAACCATTTGTAATTAATGATTTTCATCACTATTTATGTATACTTTGGTTTAAATCACTATTTATCATATTTTGTATGTGTTCATTTCCGTTGACCACACGGTCGTACCTTTTTAATATCAAGACTGTTATATATACAAGGCATCATTAATCTTTGAAGACCACGAACCGAAGAATAAAAATAAGATTGAGAAGCATATATATATTTACATGTAGTGTAGTAATGGAGTTGTGGGTCTGTGCGGCTGTGCCCACTGGTGTCGCCAGCCAATCTGCCACTTTCTTCAATATCTCTTGAATACTCTCTCACTAGCAATAATCTTTCTTTCCTCTCATTATCTTAATTTTTGTACGTGATCACAATAAGTTAGTGTTAACTAATGTAGTCACTAGTTTTTTTCTTGAATTGATGTAATCACAATATGTTAATTGTATTGTCCACAATTATTACTTTTAAGTCTTAAGCAACGGAATAATATTCGACGGTTCCAAGCACATGTACAGGTTGGTCCATATATCTTCCGTACGTGCGCCCAGCATAATTCAGATTTCCATTCCATGACAAGATTACTAAATTTTTTTAATTATTCCTAAATTCGATTTATTATTAGTCTATTTACGAGTCTTTACGTATCATTTGATCTCCAAATACAATTCTCGTGTATAAACATGCTTAAGTTGTAGTACACTTTCTGCTTTTCATGTATCGCTTCCAACTAAGAAAAAATATACATTGGAAAACACTAGAAAAATGTTTTACGATATTTTAGTTTTTCATAAAGAGAGTCATTGGAAGCCGAGAGAGAGGATCTGACCGGAAAATGTGGTTTTCTGTGGCATATTGAATAAGATCGATTACAATGTAGGTAAAGAACACTAAAATTATTTGTAGAAAACGCATGTCAGATAGTATATATTTGTAGGTGAAAATAATAGGAGCTGAAATTTATAATCCGGAGAATCAGTTATATCGCAATGTGATTCTATTGTTAAGTTGAGGTTTCGCAGCTAAAGAGGTTCCTAGACCAGTAGAACAACGAAAACACTAGATAGCTAGAATTATAGATGGAAAACAGTTTTTTGGATTTTCATGAATGTAAAATGTTTTATATAATTCTGCAATTTTTTTTTTATATATATAATTGAAATTCCGTGGGGTTTTGCAAAAGCGATTTATGAGCTCGATGACGTACGTGGGAATGATACAAATCTTTCTAAAAAATGGAATATTTTCATTCTCCAATACATGTTTTAAATTTATAAGGAAATGGGAGAAGAAACAAATTAGCTAGTCAGTAGTTTGTTGCAATGCTTTAACACTTAAAAGAGTTTATGCTAAACATTGATTGATGCTTCTTGTGCGTCTATAACCAGTCAAGTTATCTCGATCAACCATGCATAAAACACAAATAATGTTCTATTTGACAGCTCATGGTTAGTATCTTAAACCTTTTAGACAGTATATAAAACTTTTCTCGAGCTATATAAACTTTTTATACATTGGAATGCCTACTTTTAAATGTTATTGATTCAAAGCATTTTAGATCATGTTACATATGTACCCATAGTCAACCGGTCTCACATGGCTATCAGTCATAGCCTTTTGAATCTTCAATTTCTTTTATGATTTACTATTTAATACTCCAAATGACGTTAAATATTATCATTCCCAATTTGCAGAACAGAAAAAATAATTGAAACCCAAAAAATAGGATTATTTTTATTGTTTTCAATCGCAAAGCAAAGAGCAGCAATAGCCTTGAGCGTTCCAGAAATTTTACCTAAAAAGGAGCCTTGAGAGTGTCAACAACGAAGAGGAAGAAACAAACAAAAGGATGTAGATAGAAATTAACGAATTAAATAATGAAACAAGAGAAATTTAAAGGTGTCCCCATCAATCAATATAACAAAGTAATTTTTTTTATTCTGGACAACAACAAAGCAAATTATCTTTCCAAATATTCCATCGTATATTACCACTTTGGCTTTTTCGATGCCAAACCATTAATCTCGCGCCTTGAGACACGCAGTCAATATTATAAGTATATAGTATATACTACTAGTATTACACTTCGCATTTTATTGGGTTGTCTTTATCTAATTTTTTGTTCAAATGTGATGAATGGTGAGCAAAACAAAAGTTCAATACCCACAATGGCATTAATCAAACGGGTGATTTATTTTATTTATCATGAGAAGCTTTAGGTATATTGTTTAGACACTGTAAAAGAACTCAAATAACTTTTTAAAACAAAACACAACAATGAAATTTCGGATCGTATAATTTTTCTTTTAGTGGCCGAGAGACATAGCATGAAAAAATAAATATAAAACGTAAATGAATAGAATGCAATTAATACGGTTGGAGTAATTAGTTGTCTTTATCTCCCTTCACCTCTGAAAAGATAAATAAATTTTCCTTTTGGAGCTACTTGTTGTTCAAACAAGAATCCCCATGACAAAACCGCAGTTGCTTTCTCAGTCAACTTTTGAAATCTGAGAGTTTTGAAGGTTTGTAAGAAATATTAAATACAATCTCTGTTGATTTTCCATCAAACCCTAAGAGGCAGACCCTTTTAAAAGACTGCCTTTTTAGCATTGGAAATTTAAAGAGTTTTATTTATTTATTAAAAAAAAGTAAACATGCAAATCATAGGGTACTCATTATCTAATTATCACACCCACCTCTGTCTTTCTGCTTGTTTTCACCTTTTTAACCACTAATAAAAATATAGGTTGTCATAAATCCTCCCACCTATTTTTCTCTTTGTTGTTTCTTAAATTACAGTATTGTATTATTTTCCATAAACCAAAAGATACATTGCCATATAATGTACATAGAATTGTAGTATTTGTAAGAAAAAAGACAAAGTATTTTAGTTAACTTCAAAGTTCATTTGGAACCTTTTTCACTTGTGTAAAAAGAAAAGAAAGAAAAAAAAACTTTTTCACTTGAGGATGAGATTGAGAGTCATGGAAGTGTTTTTATTAGTGTGAAACTACGATAACATTGTAGGAAGTGTTTTTCAAGCACTACGATATTGTAGAAGTCTCGAACATAAAACATATATTTTATAAATAAAAAGACAAGAATATTTTATAATGACGGGGACTAAGAAATACCCACTTTTCCCTTTTTTCTTATTTTTTTTATCTCTGTAAGTCAGCAAGTGTTGTTTTTGTTGCTATCTCTCTCTCTCACCCTCTCTCCATTTCTATATCTCTCTCCACATAATCTTGATCTCCACTATTTAAATAGACAAGGAATATAGAGAAAGTAGTAAGATGATGATGTTAGAGTCAAGGAGCAGTATGAGAGGTTCAAACACAGTCGTTCCAGATCTGTCTCTTCAGATCAGCCTTCCTAACTCTCACGCCGGAAAACCTCTTCACGGTGGTGACCGGAGCTCCACCACAAGCAGTGATTCAGGCAGCAGTCTCAGTGAGTTGAGTCACGAGAACAACGTCTTCAACAAACCTCTCTTGAGCTTAGGCTTTGATCATCATCACCGTCAGAGGCACTCAAACATGTTCCAACCGCAAATCTACGGTCGAGATTTCAAGAGAAGCTCATCATCAATGGTTGGTCTTAAGCGAAGCATTCGAGCTCCAAGAATGAGATGGACTTCTACTCTCCATGCCCACTTCGTCCATGCCGTTCAACTTCTCGGCGGCCATGAAAGTAATTACACTTTATTACAATTTAAAAAAGATAAAAGAGAAGACATAGCCGTTCAAGATTTTTGTATAAGTAAAATATTTTGAAACCAAAGTATTAAGATTTGTCGCGTACTGATTGGTTTCAGGAGCAACGCCTAAATCAGTGTTGGAGCTGATGAATGTGAAGGATCTAACCCTAGCTCATGTCAAGAGTCACTTGCAGGTTCATTTCTATTTTTTTTTTCCCTTTATATTTTTTTTTGAAAAATTATTTAATGGAATCTCATAGGAATGCAATAGGTATATGTACTACTTTTTGTATGAAAGTGTATTTATTTGGGCCACTAGCTAACACATGATTGCATAGTTGAAATAAACTTAGCCAAATATTTAATTTTCTTTTTCTTCCATTTTTTTATTTTTCAAGGATGTGTGTTTGTTGATGCAGATGTATAGAACAGTAAAATGCACTGATAAAGGATCATCAGGTATTCATTCAAACCCTGTTTCACTGACTTTTGTCTTCCTATTGGTTACAAAAGTAAATACTACCACAGTTTTTTATTTTGTATAAAATTTGATTTTTATTTATCTTGGGAATAAACAGGAGAAGGAAAGGTAGAGAAAGAGGCAGAGCAGAGGATAGAGGACAATAATAATAATGAAGAAGCTGATGAAGGAACTGACACAAATTCGCCAAACTCATCATCTGTGCAAAAGACCCAAAGGTTATTTTTTATTTCTTTTATTTTGTTAACAAACTTTGCATTTAATCCCTGTTCCTTAGTTCTGCGTGAATTTTGATGAAGATGACCCTCTTCTTGGGCTTATGTGAAAGTACTTGTCCATCTCCTATTTAAATCCGTTAAAGACTGTTTTTCTAAATAAAAAGATTCTTAATTTCCTTAGCTAATTAGAATATATGAATTTATGATGGTAAAGTGGCATAAACGAGTAACAAGAAGGCCCTATAGAGTCAACAATATGAGTGATAAGTAGATTTCTCAAATGTGTTTTAATATTAAAAATTTGAACAGAGCTTCTTGGTCATGCAAAAAGGGAGTGTCTATGAGCATATCTACCCAAGGAGATCCTCATTTGGGAACAACCGATCTTCACACTAATGTACATTGTTTCTCCATCTCTTATTAATTGGAACCACTATATTTGTCCATACTCTCAGATCATATGTATATATAATAGTATGGTCCTAATCAGATCTTTATTAATTTTGATGATAGGAAAATGAGGCGACAAACGTTCATCTCAATTTGGAATTCACGTTGGGGCGACCAAGTTGGGTAATGGACTATGCAGAACCCTCCAGTGATCTAACCCTTCTCAAGTGCTAATTATTAATCTTGGAGAGCTACAACAAATAAGTCAGCTTAGATTATCAGTTTAACAAAATTAACGTGTTAGATGTCATATGGACTTTGGAAGAATCATTATCATCATATATGAACGTCTTCCAAGAATATTCCATGAGTTGTTTTTGTGGGAGTTGTATAACAAGAGAATCAGATTAAGTAGTAGCCATATGGTCTTGTTGTAGTGTGTCAGAAGGGAGTACTAAGTTCAAGTAGAGATAATTTTTGTTGTTTCAATCTTATTAAAAAAAACATCCCAATCTTCCATTGTCACACTTTAATACAAATTGGAAAAGATTCTCTGTTAACGAAAAAGTGATTGCTGCCTCTTCCCTCTTTTGGTATGCTTCACTGCTCCCACTTTGGTACATATGAAGAGCTTTTTTGGAACATGGTCAATTGTGTTTTGCTTGTTCCGTAAATGTAAAATCTATAGTTCTAGTAAATCAATTTTGTTATATTGAATAATGGGTCGACAAGAATATATTGCAAGATGTGTGGTAAGAAATGATATCATTGCTCATGGAATGCATATTTTAAATATTAAAAGTATGATATATGATCTTTGATATAGATCGGTAGCTTTGTTACGTAAGACCAACAGCGACATTGACTTCAGAACGTCGGGCTTCGTTCCTCATGGGCTCTTGTGCTCATCGATTACTTTCGGAGTAATTATAATGATAAAAACAAAAAAGTGAAATTAAATGTCTCAGCATAAACTTCCACATCTTGAAATTTGAGTTTTAAACTCTCTAGCTTTCCTGAAAACTTTTCCATTTGGATGAGAAAAAAAACTAAAAGAGATATTTAAAGGTTATGACATACAAAACATAAACTATACCACATTGTAGGAAACACAAAGTAGTCCAAACCATACAAATTATACATGTGAAATTAAACACACTTGAGAAACAATGTAATCTCAAAATTATAATGATGTAACTGATATATGTAAGGAGTTCCTTTACATTAAAACAAAATTATTGTATCTCGAATCGAAAAGCTAAAATTTAGGTTGATTTTCTTATTGGACAACAGCACTTTTTTATTTGGTCTTCCAAATGTTATAGAGTGAACTGTTAGGGATAGGTGAACCTACGTCGAAGAGAAAACTGGAGAATACATTCTGTACCATTGGGGATGTTTTCACTTTTCAATAAATTGCTGATACTTAAATCATGAAAGGATATGGGAAGAGATTAAATAAATAGCATGCAGTCAACGTCAGGGTGGCCGAGTGGTCTAAGGCGCCAGACTCAAGTTCTGGTCCTCGTGAGAGGGCGTGGGTTCAAATCCCACTTCTGACATTACTTTTTTATTTTTAACCAAAAACTAAAGAGAGCAGGCATATTACATATTTTGTTTTCTTGTTGATAAGTGATAACAACATGCATATTAGATCTTATGCATATGCCTTTGTGTTCAAGAGTGTTTTCTTTCTTTAGAAAGTGAGATTCTCTCGAAGAAAGGGCAACATGTTCAATTTTTCGATTTGGTTTTTTAGGAGGATGAAGAAATTTTAAAGCCAAATTCGATTCAAGTAAACCAGTCAAGTCAAAATGTTGACTTCTTTAACTGGTAAAAAATTCCGGTGGTGTAAATATCTCTCTTTCTCGTGTTCTTTAAACAATCTCACCATCTCTCATTTTGCAGTCCAAAAAAAAGTTGCACGTTGCAAGACTGGCCCGGTTATACATCTACATATCATTTCATTAGATGCAAGGTTGATGAGTTAAGGATTCAAAGTTTTAAGTTATACTTTTTGGGTTTTGAAGCTCCTCATGCTTGACGAGCTTGTTCTTCTTGGGGAAGCCATTATACAGACATAAAGAAAAGAAAGTTAAACGATATTTCACTTGAAAGGCCTTCGGCCTATAAATCCCTTTATCACCTATATATAATATATATTCGATTACATATTACTCGAAAGACAGACAAAGACATTCTCTAATTCACCTATCAGGTGGGCTCAAGCAAGACCCCTAACTTACGCAACACGGTAGGGCATTTCAGATTTTGCCCCGCTATTTCCCCCTCATAAACCCTAGGAAAAAAATTACAGCTTTGGAATAATAATAATGACCTCACTATATCTACCTCGTACGCACGCATCTTTCTTCTCCTCCCCCACACGAATGGTTCCTAGTTACTTGCTACAAATCTACTCCACAAACGGCTAAGCCATGGCGATCTGATCTCGCCCGACCCGGTACAATCAGCATCGCCTTCTTCCACGGTGCTGAAAAGGGTTTGATCCGAGCAGTCTAAGGAAGCCCCACACGCCATGTTATAGGATTGACATGCTGAATGACATACCCGTAATCTATCGTCTCCATCGATATCGCACTTCTGGATCGATATCTGGTTCACAGAGATTATAAAGAACAAACGTCAATGTCTCATCCATAACGTGGGAACAATGTAATAAATCCTAAGAGATCGATTGCTACTCACCCAACAGGCTAGTCTCTTCGCTGCTTCATCACAATAGCTGTTACCGAAAATGTTAAATAGCTTCCGTGCACCGCCCGGAAACAGCCTATTGTAGTTAGGCATGACTACGACTTCCTCAAGCTGCTGGAGTATGCTGGGTTCTCTTGGAGCACAATGTTGCCCTGTTATGTCTCTCTCCAACACATCTTTGCACACCAATAAACTTGTCACTAGCTTAGAGCTGTTCTGACATGTGTAGCCAGCATAATCAGAGCAACGGAACTCGCAAACCCCATTGTCACACACTCCTCCGTGTAGGCTGCATTGTTCGTCGCACACGGCTGTATAGTTGACAATAATCTTATTGTTGGATCCATTTATTCTTCACACAAACTATGTAAGTACTAATAATTTACCTGTTGAACAGTCGATTCCAGTAAATCCATTTTCACATATGCATACACCTTGCGTTGTGCATCTTCCATGTCCATTGCAATTATTAGGGCAGGAACCTGCATGGTGATAGACATAACTTCTAAGTTACAGATCTTGAAATGTGAAACAATTTGATGCCAAGGATACAAGACTCTTACGGTTTCTACAGTCATGACCGTGATAACCAAGGAGACAACGACACTTCCCATCAACACAGTCTCCATTTAAGTTACAAGAATTAGGACACTGGCCAAGCACAGAAACTACAGATGTACTGCAGAGCTCGTGGTAAGCCGGACAAATTAATTCACCTACAACAAAACATTAAATCGTTTCAAAAAGATTTCGTAACATAGGTTATTCGTCTACCCGGAATATAAATGCAATCTTACCATTAAAACCAGGAAATTGAATTGGTCCACCAGCTTGAGGGCATAATTTCCATACTCCCTCCACAGCAACCTAAAAAGAATGGCATTGTGGATGTCAAGGAAAACATTACTAGTGAAGCCATGAATAAGCAAGAAATCAGATATAAGATGTAGAAGCCTAGAAGGCATACCTCCAACAAATTATTTTTACATCTATGCTGATAACAACCATTCCCCTGTGGCATGGAACCTCGAACAAACCCAGTACGCACTAAAGATGAAGCCATACACCTATATAGAAGTCATACTCTTTCATGAGCCACATGCCATGTGAATATTTACAAAATTCAATGAGAAATTTAACTAGTAATTACCTGGAGTCACCCCCTCTCACTTCACCCAACATTCTGTCAGGCGGACGTGCACTATTGATATCCGTACAAGACCCATCTGAATAGGCAACAAAATATGTACAATAATCTGCTAACGAAGACTGACCACCTGCAATATGTTGCGTTTGAAATTCATTAGAATTTCTTTACCAAACAAGAAATGAATACAGGCATGGATTACTGAATAGCTTGCTCTGGAGTATACTATGCTTTCTAGATATTACAACTAAGGAAAAAGCAAAAAGCATTTTGGGTATCACAGTAACACGTAGATGCAGGAAAAAACTTAAGAAACATAGTTGAACGATTAGATTATTGGTACCAGCATGTTGCAATTAATCAACAGGACTGACCTTTATTAGCCTGTGGAAAGTAACGAGCCCATTGAGGTAAGTCTCCATTATAGCTTAGAATTGGGCAGTAACCTTCAGCCTCTCTGTTGTATGTACAGCCAGATAGTTGGGTTGTGTTACAATGGTACGCGCCCTTCCACGTGTTACACGGAGATGTGACAAACTGAGTCCCCTGGTTCCGGCCCCAATCAAGACGGTCTGCCATGCTATAGTTAGCCTTATACCAGCCACTATCCTCTAATAGAGCTAGAGTCATTTTCGAAACGACTGATCTTGTGTCTACTGACCCAGTCATTATCTCATTCATGAGAAGTCTCTTTTCCCAGTGGGACCCTGACGTGCCACGTCCTCCTCCATCCTCAAGTTCTAAACCCGAGAAGTTGTGAGAAAATGCCTGTTGAATAGAACGTTTTACACTCTTATGACTTCAGGATACAAAAACTAGGGTCACGAGGATTAACTTGCAAAGATGCATTGGTTCCTGAGAAGGAACTGATCAAAAAACATTTAAACTCACTCCGTAATGATGTCGCGAATGCATGACAACCCGTGGAAGCACTACGCGTGTCACTATCCGACCAAGCTTTTCATCCATCTGTTGCTCGGTTACCTAAGAACATGAAAAAAATCGCTTGTTTCAAGATGGTTTGTATAGAAAATAAGGAAAGACACAAGAAAAAAGAAAAATCCTAAGACATGCTAATGAAAACTAAACTTTTCTCTGGGTTAGGATGATATTTTAGTTTAATAACATACCTCAGTCCGTCTTCTTTTTCTTTCATCTCTAAAATGAGCAAATGCATGCGGATCAAAGCCAAGGACATGCATAACCTCATGAATGAGAGTTGCTGAAAGCAGAGTCCCAGATTCTGAAGTCAAATGGCGGGGAGCAACATTGACATGCCCTGAAAAAGACCATACCTCTAGGCTTTAGTTTAAAACTCATAGCAATGCAGGGATTTCAAAAGATTGTAATCAAGTGAAGGGAATGGAGA